ATGATTTGAACAGTTAGAATTTACACTACCCCAGAATGCTTCCAAATAAGATTCAGCTTTTCCAGCCCAGCAGTTCTTGAGAAGAAGATTTTTAAATATAATTTTACTATATATTTCAATGTAAAACTTGATTTCCTATTGTGGCCCCGCCCTACCCCCGGGGGTCATGATTTGTATAATTTAGAAATTACACTATCCCAGAATGCTTCCACATAAGTTTCAGCTTTACTGGCAAAGTGGTTCTTGAGAAGAAGATTTTTTAATGACCCCACCCAATTTTTGTCTTTTCTTGATTATCTCTCATTTGAAGGGGGCTTGGCCCTTCATTTTAACAATTTAAACTTCCCTTTACCCAAGGATGCTTTGTACCAAGATTGGTTAAAATTGGCCCAGTGATTCTTGAGAAGAAGTTGAAAATGTGAAAAGTTTACAGACGGACGGACGGACGACGGACAAAGGGTGATCAGAAAGCTCACTTGAGCTTTCAGCTCAGGTGAGCTAAAAACTCACCTAGTGTAGATGGAATGAGAGGACATTTTTGCATAATCTCTGGTTCAAAAGTAGCTGTGTAACAAAGAAACAGGAACCTTATAGAGACACTTCAAATAATTGACGTAATGGGAAACGGAACGTAAATAGGAATATGGCTTGATATACGTAACTTAATAACTAATATTTAAAATAAAATAAAATTAAATTCTCGTTTTTTTTCAAAGTTTTAAAAACACTTACAATTTAAAAGATAAGAGGTCATGTTCGTGTACTGTTGTCCTGAGAGATTATCTTTAAATACGGTGAACCAGATGGTGAAATACACAGCTTGAAATAGAAAGAAGCAAACAGCTAGAAGCCTTTTAGTGGATGGTGACATCGTACCCCATCTAACTCTATACCACAGGGTCGCTTTGTCTGTAAGTCATTGTTAATTTTCTCTGGAAAGACACGTTACAAACGCTAAAGGTACTATGTACAATGCCTGTCACCCCCCCCCCCCAACTTTTCATTGAATTAAAGTCTGCTTCAAAATCGCCGCGTTAACCTTATTTTAAGCCCAAATTTGCAGCCCATGAACCTTTTATATTTGAAAATGACATCGGGAATGTACACATAGCATAAAATTTTATTTTTAAATAATTTTGATGTGGACTCGATCAAGGATATTGGAAATAAATGCAGAGGAAAACTTTCAAAATTCTTTTTTAATAACAAAGAAATAATATTTTGGTTGATTCATATTCAAAGTTCCAACCTAGCTTGTTGGGTAAAAGCCAAAACTGAGGTTCAAGGAGACAAATGTGTAGAAAATATAATTCAGAACACGTTTACAACTAAATTAGACGGATATTCCAAAACTCAATTTTTGTGCACGTAGGTTCCTCCTTGTGGCCAATCTTTACTCAAAATTCATTATAATTTTAATATACAATATACATTGCTGAAAGAAAAAAAATCAACAAAAAGACCGACAGTGAGGCATGCATAATTTTGGTCCAGTATCATAATATAAGGGATAATTTTCATAGATTTTTTTTTAAATTTGACATAGCACTAGCTAATACTACTCAGCATATGATATCCAGTTTAACGCCAAATCTTAAATGACTGCAAGTACATGTACCTACCTCTCTTATGCATCTCTTTAAACTAAATGATGATTTACAACAATAACAAAAAAGATGAACTAAATTTTTAGAAAATATATTTATGCCCAATATTATTAGTTTAAATATAATTTACCTTATCGGTCTGAAATGGTTCGTCAGCAGGAAGTGCAAGTACCTGATCAAAGAGCTGGCCATAGGTATACATTACAACATCTTATAACGCACTTCTGTCCCGCTAGAGGCAGTTTATCACTCGGTCAAAATCACTTTCAAATGTTCGAGCTGTATATATATATATATATATATATATATATATATATATATATATATATATATATATATATATATATATATATATATATATATATATATATATATAACTATTATATAAGAGAATTGTAAATGTTAATTACTTTTTGATACACAACCAATACATTGAAAATAGTTATAATCCTTACAGATGAAAATCTGAATCAGATATAACCAGTACGCATTCTTACATCGTATTTTTTTTCGTCCTTTTTAGAAGATTCAGCGCAAGATGTTGGAAAAGAAATGTTTTGTGGCCAAATCTGTCGATATTCGTACACACATGTTCAGATGTGGATCTAAATAAAAGCTTATATACTGAAAAATAGTTACAGACAGCTACCTGGGAGCTCAAATTGTCTATATCATACATATATACGCCATCCTGCCGGTTCCAGGGGCCCGTTTTACAAAAGAACTTACGACTAAGACCAAAAACTTCAGTTGATTGTAAAATTTTGTAAAATTAATGATTCTGTTTCAAATTGCTGGCGTAAAAGTATCTTTCTACATACTTTTTATATATATTAAAAACATTTTCTATTTATTGTAAATTAGAAGGTTATTAGCAAAATTTAATTTTGGTCTTAGTTGTAAGTTCCTTTGTAAAACGGGCCCCAGATATGTATTTGATTAAGTAACTTTAAGATTTCAATGTTCTTATCTAAGCACAATTGTCAAGATTCAGTCATGCACTGTGAAGAATTGAACACATGTGCTATCTATAGAGCTAATAATATATTAAGTAACTGTAAAGGAAATTTTTCGAGGGATGTTAATGAAGAAATCCATCTGAGGATTGACTTGTGTCAATGTACACATAAGCAAATAAAGTTAACAGTAACTCTTTATTCACGTACCCAGTGCAAAAATGGCATAATTATAGGACATATATATATATATATATATATATATATATATATATATGACATATGGCTTTAGGAGACCAAGGAGGTTATATTTTCTGGCTTAGGGAGACCGCTGGATTAAGGCGACCTTTTTCGGTCTCCCTATTATTTTGACCTCATCAGTATTGCAAATGTCTTTTTATAGATAAATAAACAGTCTGCCATTAAATTTTATTAATCTTTAACTCTGTTATTTAACATTCAAAAGTTGTCTAATTTCTATCATCTTCCCTAAAAAAGAAAAGAATTTATAACCTACGTATAATTTCAAAGGATAATTTTTCTGCATTTTGGAGACCATGAAAAACATGCAATTAAACAAAAAATCTAGCATATATATTTTTTCCGCTTTTGATTTGTTCAAATGAGTGTTTCTTTAACTTAGTTTTCCATGTTTTATGTTAAATACCTAAAAAGGAAAAATATTGTAAATTTATGAACCATGTTTTGAATTCTTAGCAAGTGCTTTCCGTCATTTGTTCCGAATGCCATCGGAATGCCCCTTCAGTTTTCAGAAAATGACCTCTGAACACCATGGATGTTGAGAAATTTGGGTAAGTAACTAAAATGATACAGTAATAAGTTGTAATTAAGAATACACAAGACAAACATTCGTTTGTTTTTTGGTTTTTTTTTTTTTTTTTTTTTTGCCTAGTAATTTAGCTTTCAAGAGAAAAAGTATGATTTTAAATAATCGTTAGACTATAGTTCGGTATATAAAATCCTGAAGGAAATTCGAAATAAAGTTAAATGATAGGCCCCTATATTTTTTAATTCTTTTATGCAAGTCCACAAACAAATTAAATATTTAAAGATTAGGCCGAACGTTGAAAAAATAGTCTCGCAAGTTGACGCAGCTATTTCGAGCTTAAAAATTTAAATTAAACTTTCTGTAAACATCATGCAGGACATGATCATCATGATATGGTATAAATGAAACAGACCCTGTAAGAAAAAAATAGCTGTAATTTAATAATTGTTTATTAATATAATGTGGTCCTCTGCTAATAGAATATATATGCTGTAAAAAAAAATCTGAATCAGGGTGAAGCAGATTTGATACAATACATGGCTGAAGGAACGGGGGGGGGGGGGCAGGCCCCCTGTAATTTTGCTGAAATTTAGGTATACTATAGAAAACATTGCTCCTTTATGCTTGTGCCCCCTCAATAATAACCTCTGATGATCTATTTTTCTTTTGCTTTTGGGCCCCCTCAATAATAACCTCTGATAATGTATTTTTCTTTTGCTTATTAAAAAATTTTTGGTTTGTAGCCTCCCCCAACCTGAAACTGAAAAATGTTGTTTGGTTGTGCTCACCCCCCCCCCCCCTCCAACTAAATTACGTACGGGCCTATTCTCCATCCCTGAGGTTTTCTTTCACCAAAGAAAGATTAATTGGTAACAGTTCAAATATATATAGCAATATTTACGGAAGGGAGTATTCTCGTTTAATTATGAAGATGTGACAGTAACTCAGTCAAAGCCACAGTGAGTGTAACATTTATTTAATATTATTGTTAATGTTTACAAATAGTGAAATACTGATACTGTGAAATTTTAATGGATATATAGAAAATATAAAAGTACAACCATTTATTGTAAATCACATACATGAAAAGCTTCTTTTTTTTCAAGCAATTGGAAATTCTTCATTTTTTCATGAAATTATTTTATTTCCTATGTATGATAATTTATTTCGTATTTTCATTCAGTCAACAAATCATTGTCGCAGCCTAGTTCCCTTCATTATTTTCAGCAGTTCAGTGACAGATATAAAATGATCATTTGAGGTTTATACCCCCCCCCCTCCCCACCAAATGAAACTGAAAAATGTTTGGTTTTGGTCCCCTTCAACTGAAATTGATTCCTACTTACCATGCTTACAGGCTTAACTATGAAGATGTGACAGGGAGTGTAATACATGTAACAATAATTGTTCAGACAGATACATATTAAGCTGATATACGTATCAAATTTTAATGGATAGATAGAAATTAATAAACAATTACAACCATTTATTATAAACTACATAAAGATAATTTTTCAAGCAATTTGAAATTTTTCATTTTTTATGATAATATTTCATTTCGTATCCATATATTTATAGGTTTATTCGTATCAACAAATCTGTGTACGAGTTAATAACGCAGCATGGTTCCCTGCATTTCAGTGACAGAGAACCAGAAATGGCAGAATAAGATTGTAGGGAAACAAGCCTTGTTACAAGGTTTGAGGTTTGTTTATTTTATATTTTAATTTACACTTTTTAAATATTATTATTATTATGCAAAAATCTGTGTGCAGATGAATATTTACATTTTAATGTTATAAGTCGTTTTGTGGTTTATATTTGCGGTGACTGTCCCACGTGTGTTTACCTGTTTACATTCACCTACTGACCTAGAGTCTTCAAAATGTACCTTCTGTAATGATGACTGTTGTAATCTTGTTTTTATGTTAGTTTACCGTATGTAACTTGACTGTTGTATAGATTTATAGCGATCACTGCAAGCTTTTAATATTTAGGTGAAGAGAAATTTCAGACTATCAATCACAGGCACTTGTCAGGTCCAGTACAATCTCTTGATTTAGCTATATAGCTTTATTTAGCTATATAGCTTTATTAAGCTATTCAGAATAGCTTAATTTAGCTATTTTATCACATTTTTTTCTTAAATGTGTAATTTTCTCAGCAGGTACAAAAAGTCGCACCTTGGTGCAGTGATGATATTCAACCTTGAACTCTTCTGAAATTGATGCATGTAAAAATCACTCATTAAATTGTGTCTCTTTGAGAGACTTTGTACTCAAAGTTCTAAGAGTTTTGGGGCTATATAACACAATTGATGCAGTTACTTCTTCAATGAAATTATAAAGGAGGCCAATTATGGTGAACAAGGTAATTGATTGGTAATAATTCAGTACAATAAGAAGCAATCATACTTATCCATGCCTCAACGCACACAAGGTAGTGGACAGTTACTCAAACAATAGAAATTTATCTTTTGCTTAAAAGTATTCAAAAGCTGCAAAGATAAAACTATCTTTGATTTTAGTTTATGTTTTGATAGCCCATAGTACATATATGAATGGTCAAATACATGCGACTTTTTGTCTATTTTATACAAGAAAAAATTTTGTGAAAAACTGCATATAAATAGCTAAATCAAGCTATTTTGAATAGCTTAATAAAGCTATATAGCTATTTCAAGCTATATAGCTAAATAAAGAGATTGTACTGGACCTGCTTGTTTCATATACGGTGCACCCCTACTTATTTTTACCACAAGGTATCTAACTCAATTTCAGGCACCCCCGCTTCAAGCTCATATTTTGTTCATGTATCATTATCAATCATTAACCTACTTTAAAATGACATCGTTCGCTTCAAGAGACTTTTTTCTTGTCAAATAAATCGTTTCAGACGTCTCTGGTCGAGTCTCTTTATTGTAAAGCACTCATTTATTCCACGAAAATTACCTCGATACATTTTAAGACTTTAGATGGGATACAACTTCCAGTTGGGGGTGGAATAAAACCAGAGACTTCCGAGTATTCCATTCCGAGGTCTCTGGTTTTATCCTTCATTTATAACCCCAACCGCAAATTTGTATCGAAAATTACCTTGATACATTTTAAGACTTTAGATGGGATACAAATTTCATTTTTTTCACAGGTCACGAGGTTTCAACTTAAAAAATAAAAATTCTCACCGTTAAGATATGTTGGAAATTTTAGCTTGATGTGTTGATAATTTGCCAAATTATTATGTAATAAAGGGGACTTTATATGATCACCCGGCGCTGTCGCTTTAGTTCAGTCTTCACAACAATTCTTTTTCAGCACATGCCCTTAGGGCATGTAGACCTATCATTTTTACCCAGCCCATTCAAATTTGTACATGTCCTACTCAAAATTCTTACATTTACCAGTATTGTGCAACAAAAAAAACCCATTAGGTATAAAGGTTTTATATTAATTTTTTCAGCATCGTAAACCAACCATGGCCTGTGATTGCCATTTTCTAAAGCGTTTTTGTTCATAAATAACTTTTGAGTTGCATGCTGGTCATTTGTTGGCCAGTTAAGCTGAACTGAATTTCAGAAATGGGATCATGACTGTAGTGCCACAGTATGTGGCATTGATGAACATCTCGTAATTTAGCAAGCAACTTCGAGAAAACAAATAGGTTAATTAAACTAAACACTTCAATGATTAGATTGACAATCATTTGACAGGTCGTATCGAGAATGTAGACAGGCAATCCATCGACATTACATATGCGAATAATGGAGGAAGGACAGAATAAATGGCAAGTAAAGATTGTACAATGAAAGAAGATTCACATATGCCCTCTTCGGACATGTAATTTGGCAATTTTTACATGCCCGGCTGCAAATTTAACAGGTCCCTGGCATTGGACTCCCGGGTTATTTGGAAGACTGTTAGTTTAGTTTCACGAGGTCCGACAACATTGATTCTCACAATGTCTGCTCCCTCTACCCCATACACTTATCTTGATAAAATTATATAAATTATATTATTAATTATATAAATTGATATAAATTATATAAACCGGTCTTGTTTATATAGTTTTACAATGTCATAAACAGCTGCTTAAGTGCATGTAATATTGTATTACTAAATGGATTTATATATAGGATTAGGGAAAGATCCTCACTTGATTATGGCAGCATATTTAGCTCGTAGGAGTTTATTATCTACCACACATGATCAATGTCACTTTTGGATGTGAATGACTTTTGACACCCTAACTTCAGTTCAAATCAACGTTAACTTTATGTGACGTCTCTCTGAATCTTTTTTGGCATGTAACTTGGGTAAAAACAATTAAGTACTCTTGATGCATTTGATTTCTCTTAGCCCGTTTAAACATTTCCAAGGTCTATACCAGTTTTTGCAGGGGCGAAACTATGTAGAAGTTGGAAAAGAAACCCATCCCCTTTTTGACGTATTTGGTTTTTGAGGGGTGAAAATTTTCAATATTACACTCAACTACATGCAATATTTATTATACTGAATGTTTTATACAAATACAAATAATAGTGAACCTTGAGCGCATAAATCTGCGCAGTCACTATTTTTTGGAATATCACCCGTTGTCAAGCAATGTTGACTGTTGCGACACTGGGCGTGGCTTCATTATTCAGCGGATAATAGTGCAGCTTTTTAACAAATGTTTCTTGACGAATCAGATTACTTCATCTAATATACCTGAAAGTACAATATTAATTAATTGTCATCATTTTCCTATTATTAGCATTTTTACTGGTAATGGTTTTGAAATGATAGGAACATGCACTGTTCAAAAAGTCTTAAAATGTTGTTTTGGCTCAATTTCTTTGTTAGATTACTGTGTTGAACTAAGGCAGGTCAATTAAAGTAACATGATCCTATAGATTACATGTACATTTAGTACTGTAAAGTAGACAAATTTATTGTTCTCACAAGTAGTTCTCAAACATTGATTTAAGTTGGTCTCCTGAAGGATGTACATGTAATAATGCAATTGGTCTGCTTAAGGTACAGTGTATTTAATATAGACATGCATATTTTATTTTGAATTTGTATTATGTCAATCATTAGAAATATATGGTTCTTAATTAAAAAACATTGTTTTCATTAGAATTTAAGATATGTATAATAGGCATATATTCTTCATGCTTTTCCATAGTTAAGTCCTTTTTTACAGGGTCTCTGCTAGAATCATGTGGACCCCAGTGTAACAAATCTATGGAAAGAGAGAAAATCTCAGCTCAAGGGTCAACATGTCTTTATTCCAAGAAAGGTAAATTGATAATTTTTTTCTGCTAAGGCCAAAATAAAAAATACCTTTGTTTCCCCTAACGCGACCGACCCACTAAAATCGTGCCGACTGAAAAGTTTTTTTAATAAGATTATTCAGATATTTTTTTTTATTGTTTATCAACTTTATAAAATACAATTTCATCAAAATCTGTTGTTATCAGAACGCCGGCTTTTGTTTTACTCTCATTTGGCACTCACAACATGTGACCTCAGAGGGTAAGTTCGTGTTATAAAAACAGCGGCGAAGTATCAATCTTATTAAAAATCGTTAACTTATTAGAATTCTACACTCTTGAAACAGTTCGTGAATCAAATATACCATGACTAATGAGTGTTAAAATGGTATTTACAAATGTTTCTTCTCAAATTAACGTACGTAGCAAGCATGGCAAAGCATGCCTCATGAGCAGATGAGGGGCCCACCTTGTGTATGCATCTGAAAAAATGTCACTGCATTTTATTCGTTTCGAGCTATAGACAGTTCCTGTGTGGTCCTATTTTTACTATATAGGACCATAGGAGTTTTAAATGTGTCTTTGTATAATTATTTCATTTTGATAAATATAATTCAGATGTCGTTTCTTCATTCCTTTTATTTATGGGGTAAACTTTTGAAATCTTTAAAATTGGCCTATGGAATTGCTTTCTGAGACGTCCAGTGTACTTTTCTTTAGTTAGGCCCTTGAAAATAGGTTGTTTCTTTGCTTTAAAATGCCTTTAAAATTGTTGGGCCAACAACATTTGAACACCTGCCTGGTTAAGGACTCCTAAATTAGACTTTTACTCGGCACTTATGGCCATTGATCATTAAGAATCAGTAAGGGATCTTTTTCGTGTCAACATCTACATGTATATTGCGACACTGGATCTACGTTTTTTACGGTCTCATTCGACTGACCAGTTTCCACGTCCCACGAAGGGATCTGTGAGTCACTTAGAATAAGCCTTCTGAATTACGTCGTGAATCCAAAGCGAAACACTAGAATCATTGTACCACGCGAGGGCCTTAACATTTTGTCTGCGTAAATACTCAAAGATGATAGTAGGTTTGAAAAATATACTCGGATGTCCGATGGTTGAGTATTTGTGAATCTTGTCCTTTTTTAAAATATTCGATTTCAATAAATTTACACTGGCCTGAGATAATACACAAGTTCAAATGAATAATTGAATATTTGTGAATTAATTTTCCATACATGTTGCTTCATTTGTATGATATTCTGTTAAAAATTCGGTTTCTTTTGTTCTTTCCTATTTATGAAGATATTATTCAATTTTTCAGAATGTATTTTCAAAACTGTTTTGAGAAAAAAAATAATTTACCTACCTACCTACCCAACTTGAAATTTCAGGGTCGGGTTAGGGGAAACAAAGATATTTTTAATGATGGCCTAAAATACTCTTTTATAAATTATAATATCAATGCAAAAGAGTGAACAAACAACATTTTGAAAATGAAAGTGCAATAACAGTTAATAATTATGATTAGTCGAATGAATGTTAATAATCCAATCAAAGTCCTTGTTGTATATCATTTTTGCTAGGGCTGTGTATTGAGCAAAAAAAAAGGAAAGACATTTTTAATACGATATGCAATATATTGAATTCTTTAACAATTCTGTCAAAAAAGTTTTATAAATCATTATGCATGAATTTTATAAAAATAATAATTGTTTTTTACTCATTTTTAGCTCACCTGAGCCGAAGGCTCAAGTGAGCTTTTCTGATCACATTTTGTCTGTAGTCCGTCTGTCTGTCTGTCTGGTTATCCGTCTGTAAACTTTTCACATTTTCGACTTCTTCTCAAGAACCACTGGGCCAATTTCAACCAAACTTGCCACAAAGTATCCTTGGATAAAGGGGATTCAAGTTCAAATGAAGGGCCACGCCCTCTTTCAAGGGGAGATAATAAAGAATTAGTGAAAAATTAATAGTATCTTTTGAAAATCTTCTTCTCAAGAACCACAAAGCCAGGGAAGATGAAACTCATGTGATAGCATCCTAAGGTAGTGTAGATTCAAGTTTGTTCAAATCATGACCCCCGGGGGTAGGGCGGGCCACAGTGGAGGATCAAAGTTTTACATAGAAGTATATAGGAAAAAACCTTTAAAAATCTTCTTCTCAAGAACCACAAAGCCATGATGAGTCATATTTATATGGAAGCATCCTCAGGTAGTGTAGATTCAAGTTTGTTCAAATCATGACCCCTGGGGGTAGGGCGGGGCCACAATGGAGGATCAAAGTTTTACATAGAAATATATAGGAAAAATCTTTAAAAATCTTCTTCTCAAGAACAGCAAAGCCGTAATTGGTCATATTTATATGGAAGCATCCTCAGGTAGTGTAGATTCAAGTTTGTCCAAATCATGACTCCTGGGGGTAGGGCAGGGCCACAATGGAGGATCAAAGGTTTACATAGAAACATATAGGAAAAATCTTTAAAAATCTTCTTCTTAATAACAGCAAAGCCCTAATTGGTCATATTTAAATGGAAGCATCCTCAGGTAGTGCAGATTCAAGTTTGTTCAAATCCTGTCCCCCAGGGGGTAGGGCGGGGCCACAATGGAGGATCAAAGTTTTACATAGAAATATATAGGAAAAATCTTAAAAAATCTTCTTCTCAGGAAGAGCAAAGCCCTGATTGATCATATTTATGTGGAAGTATCCTCAGCTAGTGTAGATTCACGTTTGTTCAAATCATGACCCCCTGGGGTAGGGTGGGGCCACAATGGAGGATAAAAGTCTGAAATAGAAATATATAGGAAGATATCTTCTGATGAAGTTCTGCAAAGCCATGATTAGTCATTTTGATATGGAAGCATCCTCAGGTAGTGTAGATTCAAGTTTGTTAAAATGATGACCCCAGGGGATAGGGATGTGCCATAATGGGGGATTGAAAATTTTACATAGGAACATTAAGGAAAATTTCTTCTTCTCAAGAACTGAAAATCATGTTTAGTCATTTTGATATGGAAGCATCCTCAGGTAGTGTAAATTCAATTTTGTTCAAATGATGACCCCCGAGGGTAGGAGGGGGCCCAATAGGGGGATCGAAAGTTTTACATATGAACATATAGAAAAAATTTCTTCTCAAGAACAGAAAAGCTATGTTTAGTCATATTGATATGGAAGCATCCTCAGGTAGTGTAGATTCAAGTTTGATCAAATGATGACCCCTGGGATAGGGAGGAGCCACAATGGAGGATCAAATTTTTACAAAGGAATATATGGGAAAAATTTTTAAAAATCTTCTCAAGTACAACAAAGCCATTTGTTATATTGAAATGGAAGCATCATCAGGTAGTTTAAAATTCAAGCCCCCTCCCCCCCCCCCCTAATCTTTTCAATACTGAACTGATTTGTTCTTTTGCCTTGCCAATGTGCTCAGGTGAGCGATGTGGCCCATGGGCCTCTTGTTTTTGATACGATATATTCATTAATCTAGATATGTATCGATATACAGGTAAACCTCGGTATCTCAAACACCGGTATGTCGAATACCACGGATATCTCGAAGTGAATCAACGGTCCCGGCCATTTTTATTATATTTATGATTTTAAAAAACCCTGGTATCTCGAACACGGAAATCTCGAATACTTCACTTATCTCGAAGTAGATTTACGGTCCCAAGTGCTATAAACACATGCGTTATCTCGAAGTCCAACAAATTCTCGCTCCGCTGAATTCACACCTTAGTACACAATAATCCCATTATGCTAATTTTACGGTCTGTTGAACATTTCCGTTAGGTCTAGCACAGGCTTCATGGGACCATTGCTGATAATCACACCTTATTTGTCCCAAGCTGTTGTTTTTGGTAGTTAAATTTAATTACGCAGGCCAGGTGATTTGGAGGTGTTAATAAAATGCACTCTCAGAGATACTATGACACGATAATGAAACAGCAGCTTGGGGACGATTACTGTACTAGAAATTTAAATTATCGAAAATACACGCTTTTACACATCAGTACATATCAAAGTAAACACTGAACACATCAAAGTGATATTGAACTCAAGAAATTAAACAATTAAAGACATTATTTTGAGTATAAAAGTCAGTACCAAAAATCAAATCTTCAGTAAATATCATGTCCGATAAGGCAGTCTAACGAAGGACCCGGTAGCCAACCAGGGGGGATAGTTAGATTATCTGACCGTAGTGTAAAAAGAAAACTTAAAGTTCATACAATCGAAACAAAGTTTGCTTTTGTTTATTCATATTGGCAATTTCAATAAATTATTGTAGAACGATAATTCCTGTTGCTACATTTAGGCATGTGGGTATATGTACATATCCTGTTAAAGTCTTTGTGTATCACATTATATCATGATATACTTCAGACAAATTAGTACACCCGTAGTTTTGAATACAATTCATACCAGTACATTGATTTCATTTGCCACAATGGTCTCTTTAATATTGCAATAATGCATTTGGTCTTCCTAATGCATGTATAATGCAGGTACTGTATATACTTTATGTCCAGCTTATAGGTGAGTCATAAAAAGATTAGTATTTTGAAACCAGGTTAAAACATCAGAGCATTGATTTGAAATTGTCAATTGATTCTGGCAAAAAGTTGTACCGATTTATAAGCGGGTTAATAGCAAATCCCTCCAAAATAACCTCAAAAAATACAACTGACTTATAGGTGGACCACCTTATAGGCAAGTATATATATATGGTATAGTTTTTGTTGAATTTTGCTAACAGCAAAACACTATGAATAATGAATTTTGGAAAAAAAAGATTAAGTTTAATGATGCATGTATGTAGTATAGAAATATTGTTCATATGCCTGTACATGGTACAAATATGCATTTACAGAGTGTACATATGCCAGAATCATATGGACCGCAGACTGGCCCTGGTGATTCCGTTAAGAAAAAATAGGAAAAATCAGTGCTTGTGCTCATTGGTCATTGGACAAAGGTAAATAGATTTATTTCATGAAACTAAATGTAAATTACTAGGATATTAAAATATCACAATTAAAATACATGTACTGATTTATATATATATGGATATCAGTTGGTCTCCTTGATGGAGTTAAATGCATTTGTTATCCCTTTTAAGTGGATCATTTAAATATTATGCAGTTTATTTAGAAGCTCTTTATTATCTGCACTGTTTACTTTTACAGGGTCTATGCCAGAATTTTTTCAAGAACAGTCTGAATGTGACATGAAAAAAATGAAGAAAAACAGCCTTCCTGTTTATAAATCTACATTCTGACAAAGGGTAATTTTGTTTAGTTCAATTAGAAGTGCACATTTAATTTCAGTTGCTTTCCTTAATGATATATTATAGCATTTTTATTCCCTTATGAACAATATGTATACTTGTAAAGCATGTATCACAAAATCTTCTGCAAACAAAGTTTTGGGTGTATAGTGTTTGTTGTTTAACGTCCCTCTTGAGAATTTTTCACTCATATGGAGATGCCACCACTTGTCGGTGGAGAGCTGCAAATTTTTGTCCTATACTCAGCACTTACGGCTATTGAGCATTGAGGGATCTTTTTCGAGCCAGCACCTACTGTGACATGGGACCTCGGTTAATACCTCTGTCTCATTTGAAGAACAGGTCTCCACGTCCCACAGTGGGATTCAAACTCGCGATGTTAGGATAAGCTTCTTTCTCCGTGACTCTAACCACTGCATCTGCTCTACTTTGGCAACTTTGGGTGTATATAAGCATAGGAATCATCATGTCCATCTGTCTGTTCATGTGTTTGGCCACTTTTATGATTAGTTTTTTTGTTCCAATTCTGGCTGAGATAAATTGATTTAAGTCATCTAGATACAAACAAATTAAGGGAAATTACTATGGTATTGGAATGAACATTTTGGAATACTGTCTAATTGTTCCATTGTAGTTGGTTTCTTTAATGTTGAAATAATGCATCTGGTCTTCCTAATGCATGGCATACACTGTATGCATGTGTAATGTTTAAGTTGGCTGAATGTAAAACAGTTCTTGCATTATGACAAAGGTAAATAGATTTAGTTCATGTAACTAAACATGTAAATTATTAGGGTATTAAAATCTCAAGTTTTGAATACTGATTTACATGTGGAGAGTAGTTGGTCTCCTTAATGCAGTAATAATACATTTGGTCTCCCTTATGCATACTGTATATTATATAAATTTAATGACTGACATGTACGAGGGTTGATCCAAAAGTTCATGGAATTTCTTCATATTTTATTTATTTATTAGTGAAAGTGGTTGAATACTGATTTACATGTGGATAGTAGTTGGTCTCCTTAATGCAGTAATAATACATTTGGTCTCCCTTATGCATACTGTATATTATATAAATTTAATGACTGACATGTACGAGGGTTGATCCAAAAGTTCGTGGAATTTCTTCTAGTGTTGTACCGATAATCAGAAAACATCGATTGTCGACAAAAAAATGCTGCCGATTCCGATGATCGATTATAGTTTTTCATAATCGATCATCGGAAACATACTTCTAATACAATACATTCTGGAATTATCCATTTCTGGTTTAAAATTTATTTCTTCTTAATGAAAGAAAATGGCATCTGCATCTGATACTAGCCAACTAGCACGAAGCAGAGGTGAGTAAGAACCGAAGATGCATATATAGGGCCTAAAAAAAATTATTTTTGTTTCCTGTAATAACCCGACCGACCCATTCAATTTACTCCCGGGTGAATTTTTTTTCTGCCAAATCTGTGTTTGCTCTTTGGTTTGATCAATCAGCTGATTCTTTTTATTCAAAAAATATTAATTGTATCTTTTATTTGAGATATAAAATATGCAACTTAGTCAACATTTACCTTAAATATAGAGTGATCAATTCCCCCCACAACTTTTTGAAGTTCGTTTTCTGCCGCTAGGCAGCCATGTTGGGTGTCCACTGTAAATATTTTTAGGTCTAGAAAGTGTAAAAGAAGCAAAACAACAAAGAAAATAATATATTATGTATTTTATATATTCATGTTAAAGAAATAAATGAAATTATTGTAATAGTCTGCTTTTTGTATACAAAACTATGAAGAAATCCGATTATAATCGGTGAAATCGCATCAGAAGCAGTAACCGATTCCAACCGATGATTGATTATGAAAATTAACTGATGTCTCATCACTAATTTCTTCATATTTTTTTTTATTTATTAGTGAAAGCGGTTGAATACTGATTTACATGTGGAGAGTAGTTGGTCTCCTTAATGCAGTAATAATACATTTGGTCTCCCTTATGCATACTGTATATTATATAAATTTAATGACTGACATGTATGAGGGTTGATCCAAAAGTTCATGGAATTTCTTCATATTTTATTTTTTTATTAGTGAAAGTGGTTGAATACTGATTTACATATGGATAGTGGTTGGTCTCCTTAATGCAGTAATAATACATTTGGTCTCCCTTATGCATACTGTATATTATATAAATTTAATGACTGACATGTATGAGGGTTGATCCAAAAGTTCATGGAATTTCTTCATATTTTATTTTTTTATTAGTGAAAGTGGTTGAATACTGATTTACATATGGATAGTGGTTGGTCTCCTTAATGCAGTAATAATACATTTGGTCTCCCTTATGCATACTGTATATTATATAAATTTAATGACTGACATGTACGAGGATTGATCCGAAAGTTCATGGAATTTCTTCTTATTTTATTTATTTATTAGTGAAAGTGGTTGAAAATTACAAATAAGAATATAGACACTTGTTGAATTTTTTTAATAAAAAATATTTTAAATATTAATGATAGTAACTCTATGGCAGTTGCCATAGCAAAGGATGTTTTAAAATGCAGGGGAGACATTTACTCGTTCATTATCATTTTAATTCTTAATACGTGAGATAAGTAAAAATCTGCCCCAAGTGGCAAATAAAATGAGAATTTTGTCATTATTACGATTGCTTGACCACTAATATACCTGTCTGTGAGAGTTTTACTGATTTAACTTGATATTTAGATTATTAGTTGATGATTTCTTGTTCATCTTTTAATTGTTAGAGAACGTCACATTTCAGTCAAGTTATAAGTTTTGTTAAAATCTTAGGAACACTTTGACTTAAAGGGGTATACTACTGATACAGGCTGGAGAAAAATGCATTTAGCAATTGATTTTCCAGTGGTGTGAGAAATTTAAGAACAATAGAACTTCCATGGAGGTTGATTAAAGGTGTGGCTGCTTTTGGAGGGTCTGTTTTTCTCGTAGACAAATTAAGCGTTGATGGATGTTGACCGCTGACGTACTGTGCTTGACTTTGCTACTGAAATTGGAACATCATATGGAAGGATGGGGAGTATTTTTGAAATATGAGTGTAATATAAAGATAAGTCGATTGGTGGATACCCAGGCTTTTCTTGAGAGAAAAAAGGAGAAAAAGGCAGAATATTCTGTAGAATTACTTAGTTGAATTGAACATGAGGGTGAGATGCTCCTATAACATGACATGACATACTTAACTTGACGTTACGTCGAAGTCTCCCCCGGATTTTACAACTATCAGTGTTCAGAAAGCTTGTGACCTTATTGGTAATTGGAACGTGGTGAAATTTTCCAGTATTGTTGCATAATGACTCTATATTATAAATATGCCTATTGTTTGCTTTCATCAAATCACAATAAAATTTTAGAAATAATTAAATTCCATGAACTTTTTGATCAACCCTCGTATTAGAAAAAAGGTGGATCTAAGATTGAACAGGTTATAATTCACCTGAGTCATTTAAATTACTTATTGCTATCTGTTCTTGTTCAGTCATCATGTGTCAAGTATTGTCTGTAAACTATTGAACATTTTCAGCTTCTTTTCTGGAACCAGTTTCAACTAATTTCTCGGTTGAAGTACTGTATAGGGGATAATTTCAGGGGTTGTAATTTTCATGTTTTTCTCTCCTCTGACACGATCGCGGTTTGTTGAATTCGCGGAATCGGTATATAACTAAGGTTACATGTACCTCCCTTCAATGTCTATATCCGTTTAATCCATAGCATAGCTAGAAAGCATTAATCAGTGTTATGTATTCACTTCACGAACAACAGGGTAGATTTATATATACATCAGCAAGTTTGATAGTTATTTAAATGATTTTTTTAAAACCAAAATGTCGATAAAAACATGATAATGCAGGTAACAAATACACGTCGTAACATAGTTACGTACGGGTATTCAAAAGCCATGACCCTAGTGTTTTGATTGATGAAACGTAGCGTTGGCTATTAAAACAGTTTTTTTTTTTTTACAAATACAGGTTATTATCTGCTGGGTGATCTAAATTAATGTCAAGCGTGATAATTAAAATAATTGAATGACAGGTACGATTCTTAATTACTGAAATGACCATGCACTGCACGTATATTTACCTATCGTAGTCTATTCTCAAATTTCCAAATATAACATGTAGGTTATTGAAAACTTATTCACTGTTTCTTGAATTCACGGATTTATTCACATCTTGAATATAGCGAATATTAACACCGCGAGTTATTTTCCCCCTATACAGTATACAGACTTAATATAGAAATGATTTTATCGACTTTCTCAATCTATCATGAATTTAAAAATGTAAATATAAGCATTTAATTGTAAATATTAAACATTTAGTATCTAAAAACCAGAGTTGGAAATTACTGACTGCCCGAGGCAGTCTGTTTTTCAGGTAGGCAGGGACAAACTTTAGATTAAACTCGGTGGTCGGGGTCATTTAAACAGGTAGTTCCTGTTTTCCTTTTTTTTTTCAGGGTATAGTAAGTCTATAGAAATTAAGTAAAATATAGTATCAAAGGAACACTTCTAGTTAAAAATATGAGATGACCTATAGGACCAATATTGGTTTCAGTCTTTAGAAAAAGCTTACCGATATATGTTCCGGTCACTGACTTTAGGTCACATGTGTGTAGTTTCTTGTTTCTCATGTATTGCTTTAGTTCTACATTAATGGTAATCTAACAACCAAGCTTTATGATAAACGTGATGACTTTAACTTTTCAATCGTCAACTTCCCTTACTTATTCAGCAATATACCTTCATCACCTGCATACGGGGTTTATATCTCTCAGTTGATTCGATACGCAAGAGCATCCTCTATGTATGAACAATTTTTTAAAAGGAGGTAAGGCCAAATAAAAAAATGTGTGTGGTTCCGGTTACCCGACCTTCCCTATTTTATACCCCCGACCCTAAACTTTTTTTTGGCAATTTTCATATTTTTTCCGGAATTTTCCTCGATTTCCATCAATGGTTCCGTTTTAAGTTTTAGTTTCAGCAATGACGGCCTCCTTGCAAAACATAGTGCTAGTGTTTAATAGTGTTAAATCCAAAGCAAGCTAGCATGTAGGTGTCCCCTACCAATATTGACTAGTATATTATCACACCACAACTAAATGCCATTTGCAAAGCAGTGATAGGTATTATTTAGAAAAATTAAGAAAATCATTTTGTTAAAAAAAAAAAAAAAAAAAAAAAAAAATTCCCTACCTACCTACCCTAATTTTTTTGGAAGTATAACCGGAACCACACATATTTTTTTGTTTGGCCTAAGTTATTGACAAACAAATTGCTGAAACAAGAATATCAGCAGTCTTGTTTAAAGTCATCATTTTGTAAGTTCTATGGTCGATACAATGACCTTGTCAGCAAATACAATTTATCATTAAGTAAAATGCTGACTGACGTTTTTCATACTTATTGTAAGGCCATTATTTACACACTGAATTGTGTATGGATTTTTCTATTGTTTCCCAGTCGTGACAAGGAGCACACAGCGGGTGTGACTGGTCTGCATGGGATGCTCACTCCTCCGTGGCACCTGATCCCACCTCTGATGTTTTGGAGGTCCGTATTTGCTCTGCTCCTATTTTGTATTTTTTGATGGGCTTTTGAGCTTGAATTCTGATTGTTATCTCAATATATTTCATTCTACTCAACTGTGTGTTCATGTGATCCTACCTCAGTATTTACAGAATGATACATCCTTTGTTTGAGGGTCATTCTTGATGTCTGACTGAGTAATGGCAATGGGACATAAAACCTTAACTGACCTTACCACATTCTTTTCTAATCTGAAAACCCTCATGCATTTTTAGCATAACATATCGCCAATGCACACATTTTTCCCAAGGAATGAACTGCATCTACTCTGCATAGAACAGTATCTCTCCCACTGGCACAACAGTACTATTACACGTCATTATGTTCTTGAAAGGCAAACACAGCAATTATTGCTCGGCATGATTTTTTTTCATGACACCTGCAGTATCGAGTAACACAAAGTGAATGATTCATGTCCTCGAACAAAGTGTGCTTACAATGAGGTTTAGTTCCGGTTGATTGCGTTTAGTTAAAGAGAATTTATGATCTGCATTTCCATAGATGTCTTTTATATCAACACCAAACATGCATTTAAGGAAGAAAATATATTAAGTAAAATGCAAAAGCCTGTATTAAAAAATCAAAGGACAAAGTGCACTTAAGCAATGCTTAATGGGCCCTTTTTCAGTGCCATATTACTTTAGAATGTATTACCAAATTGGTCTCTTTTGGTAATAGTTAAATACAAGTGGACATTTCTAATTAAAATCACATTAAAACATCACCTAAATCAGCATGGATTTGAAACAAATGAAGTTTTTTAAATGCTAGATACCCCAAATCCGGAAAAGTCGTACCGAACCTATTTTGAGTTTCGTTTATTTAAATCAAGGGGAGGAGACATTTAAATCAGACACTTGAACAATCTGATGGTGGATCATTGACAGGCGCGTTTGCCGAATGATACTTCTTGTACTATTTTACCCGAGAAAAAAATAGAATGAAGTTGTATAGATACCTGTATCCATAGTGAACAAACTCAGAAATTTGCATGCTTGCATTTGAAATAATACAATAAGTATTAACATTAGTTCCTTTAAATTTTAAAATGAAAAAAAGTGTATTTAGGTGGCTTTCAATACCAGTACCATTGTCTTGCATGAATGTTAAAAATGTTTGACACTTTTATTTATGATGACATTTTAATGACACTAAACTCTCCTAACCATCCTGTGTTCCTAAAACCAAATACATACAAACTTCTCTATGCGGCTTGACTTCGATATAATGATACAAAACGTGGTTATGTTTTACAGTGAGCATCTTTGAGGAATGTTTACCTGGGTAGAACTCACGTGACTACCAGTATTTTAAATAATTTATTCCACGGGTGGGTTCAACATAGGTCATACAGGTAAATAGCTCTTGCTTGTTATAGGAAAAACATTGAACTTTTCATACATTTTTAATATTTTAAGTACAAGCCTAATCATGTACAAATTTCCTACTTTCACACAAGTTTTATAAATGTATAATGCATTTTTTGTCAATTGCACAAGTTTGTACAATGTTAGGCTGACAATAAACAAAAGCTTTGAAATGATTGACCGACCTCGATTTACTATAGAAAATCACGAATGTCGGCTGACCCCTACCACATTGTATGGCTTTGCTCTTTGTATATTCATGAATTTCAGAGATAAAATTTGTTGAATCTTATGGTTTAGATATCAATTAATGATCTGAGATGGAAAATTATGCTTAATTTAATTCTTCATTTTTTCACATTTTACCAGGGCCCATAAGTGCACTCGTTCTTTAGTGTTTATACAGGTAAAAAGTTTGAAAAAATAAAAATGTGCCAACAAATGGTTTCGAACCAGGACACTAAAAATGTTCATGGTGAGAGTCTGCGGTCTATCATTCTGGGCTATGCTGACTATGAGGACATTTGTAATAAATATAAACCAGTATGATAGAAATAGGTTTTCACGTTTTTTGTAGGTTTTTTTCTATGAATTTCAACCCTAGACACCTCTAAAAAAAAACCTTGTTTTAAATAATTGCTTACTAGATCAAAATCGATCAAAATTTCATAATTTAATTTAGGGGCAGGCAAAGGGTGATTATATTGCATCTATCGGGTATAATTTTCTTATCAGAAAATTGTAGAGATATGCAAGGTTAATTAATGACAACATTTATTTTTCCTTTTTGCCTAATACTTTTATGATTTTCACTAATAAATTGATTATTGAAAAAAGCCTTTAATATGACTGCTGATTTTATCTCCATCTGTTAATTTTCAGCACCTTTTCTCGTGATTATAGTAGATAGAGAACAGATTATGATTTCTAACATTTACTATTACAGATCATTTCCTTGAGATAGGTTGAACCAACAGTCAAATACAGACACTTTTAAGAAAAGTAAAAATCTGGCTCAGGTAAAAAAAAAAAAAAAATTACAGTTTTAACAATTAGTAATTTTACCTTAATTAACTGGAAAAATCTTATTTGACGAAATACAGGTCAAGAATGAAGAGTTTAAAGCCTAGTAGGGATTTTGGTCAATCATTACAGGTAATCTGCAGTCCCTTTCGAGAATTTTACACTCATGGAGACGCCACCACTTGCCAGTGGAAAGCTGCAAATTCTGTCCTATAATCTGCACTCATGGCCCTTGAGCAGTGAGGGGTATTTTTCATGCCAGCACCTACTGTGACATGGGACCTTGGTTTATAAGGTCTCATCCGAAGGACTGGTCTCCATGTCCCACAGTGGGATTCAAACCTGCGACATAAGGATCAACTCCTTACTTCGCGACTCTAGAGCAGCCACGCTTGTGACTAGCTCAGTTTTAAAGAAATCATTCAAGATATTTTTTATCAAACTTAATATGCTGATACATATATAATTAGTAAGACCTATTCAACTATTTCAAAAACTTTTGACCTTTCCTGTGACCTTGACCTCTCTTTCCTTCAATTTGCATTTTGCATGGTTTTAAAACCATTGAAAATATTGATATCTAAGGCTATGCATCTATACATAATTTGGTGAGAATTTATCATCTATATCCGTTTTTTTTAGATTTCAATTTCAATTTTAAAGAAACTTTTCAAGATATTCTCATCAAACTTCATACACTAACACAATATTTCATGTTGCATTACTATACACTCGGCGGGCATACATGTCCTATGGACATATTTCTAGTGTATTGCTATTTCTGTTGTTTGTTTACTTCCGGTCAGTAAGTGCCCCCTAGGGGCAATCCCCAGTCCTGTTTTCTTTTCCAGGGTTGCAACAGCGCCCCCTAGAAAAACAAGTTGCACCATCCAATAAAATCGTATTTTGTGCTGCTTTATGCCAATGAAATTAAGGCTGGACAGCATATGTATTATATTCTGACCAATGGGGTTGCCGTATTTTCAAATAATTAGGATAGACTTACCACTTCAGCATTCCTTTCATCACTGAAGTGATATACATGGTCAAAAATTGACTAACTTTCATTTTTGTGTCAACTGCAGAGCAGAACGACACTTAGAGATCACTTTACCTGGTGTCTGTCTGTCCGTCTGTCACACCTTATATCTCCATAATTTTGAGAGGCAGGGTTTTGATAATTAGCATTTATATATGTTTTTGAGCTCATGATACTATACTTTGAAACTGTATGAAATTCAGTTACCACACAAACTTATATTTAAATACTATGAAAATACATTGGGATCAGTATTCCACAATGAATCGTGTTGACTGACAAAGTGACAATTAAAGTAAAGACAGTCTGAAATTCATTTCCTCCGAGGATTGTTGGAAGCACCTACATGTGTATTAATAAAATGATAAATAGTTATTCCTCATAATTTCAATTAAATTATTCATTTGAGGACTGGGGAACCATATTTTCTTTGATTGCCAGATTCTATCCCAGTCTTTTAAATACTTTTGGATCTTTTTTTTCCTTGCAGGCAAATGCTTGAACCTCCATGCTAATATTAAATTAATAGCTGACCACTCTTAGATTTATTTACCTCTTTAATGACGATACCTAGCAGGTGACATATACATTCCTTGAAACACTCTAGTTCCTATTTGATTTTCACTAATATAAAGATTATTGAAAAAAGACTAAGGTGCTCTATAGTGATCAGTCTATTCATTCATCTGTCTGTCAAATACACATATCCCTTGTTCAGAATACAGGTGACTCTAAATACTTCAAACTTTATATTTTTTAATTAGTTACATGTAGCTGCTTTGGAACATCTGAAAGGTCTATTACATTATCACTAGTTTTACCAGTTTTCTTCATGTAAGTTGAATATATTTTAAACTTTTAAATTTTTATTTTTTCCAGGTAAGAAAGAAATTCAGGAGTTCTTAAATTGCCCTTGGAGTTCTTGGATTGCATCAAACTGCTAAAAGACCTCAACAAAAACAGCGTCTTGAAAATAAAAATGAAAATATTCAGTGAAAAAAAAATGATGAAAGAGCCACTAAAAATCTTCAAGCCTTTGAGCTGAAATCTGGAAGTCAATCTGTGGACTTTAATAGTAAGTCATAATTACTAAGTCATCATTTGTGTATAATAAATACACTAAACTGTAAACACTTGTTAAAATGTGTATAATTTTTAGATATAATTTGTATCTCGTAGACTTCAATAGTTTCATGTAATTTAAGTAATAATGAAAATTTCCTGTTGTCTAGCTAGATTAGAAACTATTATTGTCCAATTTTGGATATTGTGAAATAATTCATCTAGTATGCATACATGTGTGTACACTTACGTGTAAATTAATTGTTATAGCAAATTCAATCGATCATTAAGTTGAATGTTGACTAATGTTTTTCATCAAAATTGTTTACACTGAATTGTTTGTGGATTTTTCCATTTGCCCAATCATGTCAAGGAGCACATGGCAGGAAATGCTTTCTCCTCCATTGCACCTGGTGTTTTTAGAGGTCTGTTTGCTCTGCTCTAATTATGTATTGTTTCAATGGACTTAAAAGCTTGATCACTGTTGGTAATCTTCATATTTCATATACTATTAGAGTACTTGAAGAAAACTGTAAAGATTTAACATACAGTATAATGCATGTATATTGCACTTTAAGTACAGAAATGTTAAATCGTCTCATAGTGCATTGAATTTGTTGAAAATTAGAAAATGTGTTGAAATTTTTTTTGAAATAATGTTAGATTGCAGATTTTTTTAAATCATGCAAGTAAGAAATTGCTAAATATTTTTTAGATTTTCTGGACAGTCTAGATGAGTTCTTACTATATACCTAGCATTGTCATCCCAGTTAAAATTTAAGGAGCAAGGTTCATTCCTAAGCTCTACCTGGACAAACTTGCATGGATTAAAGCACATTAACAGATTTACTTCAGATGCTTGACCTGATCTACATTTTCCTCATGTGTTTTTTTGTTTTTGTTTGTTTGTTGTTTAACATCCCTCTCAAGAATTTTTCATCCATATGGAGATGCCACTACTTGCTGGTGGAGAACTGCAAAATTTGACCTATACTTTGCACTCAGGGCCTTGAGCAGTAAGGGATCTTTTTTGTGCCCACATCAACTGCTAGGCGGGACCTCGGTTTATATGGTCTAATCTGAAGGACTGGTCCCCACATCCCCAGTGGATTTGAACCTGAGACTTAAGGATTAAATCCTTACTTGCGACTCTAGATTACAAACTCTATCCTTTGCGCCACATGGGGGACTCCACAAGATTAAGTGTTTTGAGCAGTCCTATTCTCATGTAATTATAAACTCTATGTTGAACAAACCTGCAAAGATGATGTATGTACATGTAAATGTTTCAGGGTACCAATCCTTGATTTGACTTAGATTTTCTGGATTAATGACCAGTTTTTTAAAGAAGGTTCATTCAAAGTAACAATATACTCTTTGGTGATCAGTAAACATAGATGATGTATCCTGCTTCTGATGCTGGATGTAACATACATTTTCAGGGTTATTGAGCAGTTAAATCTAACCCAGACCAACTTGCATAGATTTTGGATCCAGGTGATATACATTACCAAAGTGTTTGTTGAGTGAGACTTTGCCTTACTAGTAGATAACATTTGTAGAAGTGAGCTTTGTATTCTTTGATAAGGTATGTTTTTTCTTTGCTCAGGATATATATACCATCAGTGCCAACTACCATACATTTTATATAATAGATGTAGCTGTTGTTCAACTAAATATGATAAAACTGTGGATGAAAATAATTTGATTTTTGTACCTTTGAATGTATTGAATTAATTTGTAAAAGCTGTTATGATACAATGTTTGATATTTTATAAAAGTTTTTAGCATATGCAATCAATAAATGTATCAACATTTTTATTTTATTATACTTTTTACCCTGCAAACTTCTTAAAAACAGAATAGTAATGATCCATTTAACTGATTCTAGGTTAATGTCACATTGTACTGGTATATCATGTATACTGAACTGTAAATAAGAAGCATCTAAATAGGTAAAATCACAGCATGAATCATTGGATTATGTAAGAAGTGCACTATCTTGTGCTTTGGTATGGTATTAATAATAAATGTTAAACTATCAAGGATATGCTTGAGTGACTGTATTTTGACTAGCAGTAAAAATAAAATGATTTTTAAGCATTTGAATTATTTTGATTCATGGTCTCTGCAAGTTTAATGATAGCAAATATGTATATTGAACATGGCATCCACATATTGCTATACTGGATGGGGCATGACTTTTACTGAATCTTAATCACAAACCTTGAAATTTTATGTAGTACATGTACTCTTGGTTTCAACTGGTCAAATGTATTCTTAAATCAGAAAGAATTTAAACAAATATAGGCATAGGTCAGAACTTCACCAATTAGTTGGAAAAGCGAATGCACTCGGTGACTATATGGTTTAAAAGAAGCTGGGTATAAATAGCAGGAAAAACTACTTGATGTCCACTGTGAACTTTCTGTCGTCAGCAAAACAATATGGAGTATACTATACTTGGTCTAAAGAATAATCTGTGTCTGCATTCACTTTTAGGTTAAACTGTTTTGGGCGTTGAGAGTTTGTTTGTTGGTTAACGTCCCTCTGGAGAATTTTTCACTCATATGGAGATGCCAACACTTGCCGATGGAGAGCTGCAAATGACCTATGCTCGGCACTCAGGGCCAATGGGCAGTGAGGGATCTTTTTCATGCCAGCATCTACTGCGACACTGGACCTCTGTTTGTACGAAGGACCAGTCTCTACGTCCCACAGTGGGATTCAAACATGTGACAAAAGGATCAACTAACTCCACGACTCTAGAGCATAGGCTCTTTCCACTGAACCACGTGGGCGACAGCATTGAGAGTTAAATGTGGATATCAGAACAAGCTAATCTTGGCTTATACTCTCTATATATTGATTGATTGTATGTTGTTTAACATTCCTCTCAAGATTTTTTCACTCATATGGAGACACCACCACATGCTGGTGGAGAACTGCAAATTTTGTCCTATACTCGGCACTTACGGCCATTGAGCATCGAGGGATTTTTTTTTCGTGCCAGCACCTACTGCGACACAGGACCTCGATTTATACGGTCTCATCTGAAGGACCGGTCTCCCCATCCCACAGTGGGATTTGAACCTGCGACGTAAGGATCAACTCCTTACTTCGCTACTCTAGAGCAGACGCTCTAACCACTGCGCCACTGGGGCAACTACTCTCTATTTAAGTCACTTGTGCAATGACTTTAGTTTAATTCAAAGTTTTGTACTGATCATGTTGAGTCACATTAGCACAAATATCTTTCTGCTGACCTTGACTAATGACCATCCGCAACTATTCTGGTTGGAAACAATATGTTAATTAATGCATAATAAGTGAAATTACTATGAAAGAAAAATGGTCTACTTAAACCACAAGTTATATCTATGAAAAATATACACTGGTCTCCTTAAGTCATATGAGAGAAACATAAAATATTAAGGAGACCATTTTTTTCATATATTTTTAGGAGGCATTTATTATGAAAAAATAAAGCAAGAGTCGACTAAATGGTGTTCTATAGATCTTTGATCTGGTATTTCTTTTTAGAAAAAAGCAAATTTAAAAAATCTGTATATTGTCTCCTTAAGCCATATATAATGGTCTGGTCTCCCTAGTCCTTAAATCAGAGTTATATATATATATATATATATATATATATATATATATATATATATATATATATATATTTATCCCATATCTGTGTAGTGACTATATTATAGTTGTACGTGAAAAAATTAAATATCCCATTAAATGATTTACAAGAGAAAGATAAATGTAGAAAAAAAATATGTATCATTGTGGGAATCGGAGACAAGTCTACAAGTTTTTGAAAAGCTTTGTGTCAACATTATATTCAGCGGAAAAAATAATTTATAAGACAAAAAAAATATCAAAAAGCTTAAGAGGGGTGGAGGGAGGGTGAGATCAAAGACGCGACATAAAAGTACATGAAAATACTATTCAAGATGACATTTTTTCGGGATGTACCATAAAGCATGAAATCCCTTTCTGTAGCTTTTCTTTTCCTATTCCCCAAGTTTTTCTGAAAATCTACTACCTTATTGATTTTTTCCCCACACATAACAAATATCGACATTTTCCTCACATAATGAACATGTGTATACATTGTACACTGGCTACTGGTTATTAGAAGAAAGAGATTGAAATGAAAATTAAACTGATAGTTTACAGTTATAAATACTGCATAGTCTTGATAATAATGACAATTGGTATAAAATTTAATCTATTATTAACATGTAATATCAACCTCATCAGTGATTTTACTGCATGCGTACATCACAAACAGCTGTTACTTAAAAAAAATACAGCTACTTAAAAGAAAGTGTTTCTTTTTCCAGTTAATAGTTAATCCTTTGCAATTTGATGTCATTTCTGCTTTTAAAATGATTTGCAGCCAAAGGCAATGCAATAGCTTTTACAGACACCAGATCAGTATACTACACCTCATCTATTCATATATATTTTACGCAACCAATAACGTAACCATATCCTATCTTGTAATGTTCATGGGGCCACTCTCTCCTGTTCCCTTACTGAGTATTTTCGTACATTTTCCCCATTTAGTTCTGTTGTTTGTTGCACTCTTTCGATTCTGTTTTTCTTATATTGTATAAAATAGATACTATGCCGAGTTATACGCCTATGTATAATTTAACATTTTTCATTTCTTTCCTTCTTTTCTAGTAACATACACAGCTTTAAATTAATATCATTGAAAATATACTACTTCGTCATTGTCAATCATTACATTTTATCGTTAATTCCAAAGATTTGTAACTTTGACCTTTTTGGAAAGAACTTATATAGGCTTTATATATATATGCCTGTTGTCCAATCCAATTATGTAAATGGTTTTACAAATTAAATATTACTACTGCACTAGTAAAAAAGGCTGAAAAATATTAGAAGAAAATGTTATGAACCACAGCTACCTTCAATTTTAAGTAATTCTATATAGCTATTTATTTATAGATTAATCAGTAATTAATTCATCAATTAAAATTGCTTCCACAAATATTTCTCTGCACATCTATGTTCAATATGACATCCCCCGAAAATGATTATAAAGGTCACAAAAACTGGTTCCCATGGGTTAGGGACATGCTGAACTATTATGGCTTTTGGAGTTCATTAAATCCATTTAGTAATTTTAAAAATAAATATTGAGTAACATTTCTTTGAATTGATATGCTTATTTCAACTTTCACAACTTTGACCATGACCTAGGAGTTTGACCTACTTTTGAAAAACTTTAACCTTGGCCATAACTTTTGAACTTCATACCTGGTACTTCACATGTGTAATCCTTGTGACTGACCTTCTTTTGGATACCAACGTTTGACCTTTACCTAGGAGTTTGACCTACTTTTGAAAAACTTTAACCTTGGCCATAACTTTTAAAAGGTTGGTGCTACGGCTTTCATATTTCACATATATATTTCTTGTGCAAAGTCCTTTCCTTGGGCACCATTAATTTTGACCATTTGACCTTGATGTTTGACTTACTTTTGAAACACTTTTTCAGTATCCATTGAATGATTGCTGCTAGGACTTTCATATTTTACATGTTTATTCCTCGAGACAAGGCCTTACTTTTGGTACCAACATATTTGATTTGCATTTGAGAAAGTTTAACCTTCACCTTAAGGGGTATCAGTGTTTCACAAACACATCTTGTTTTCAGTTAGCCACACTTCTTATTTGATTATCTTTCAAAGATTTGATTCCAACATACAAAATATAAACTTAGCAATCCACTTCATCTGGAAACCCAAAAGATGCCCTTGTGCTCAGCAATGTTCATACATCTACATTCCACTCCATAAACATTCTTTAAATCTCTCCAATTATTGTTCTTTGAAGATCAATTCAATTCAATTTGGGAACAAAACATTGAGGTGTATAAGGCGAGGACATTCCCCCTGCTCCGAGACAAGATGTTTCCCAATTCTAACACTTTATGGAAAAGTTATATTTTTCTAAAATGATATTTTTAAGGTATGTGGGGAAAAAAGCCTTACATACATATACACATGTATGATTCGAACTCTCACCAAAAGCATTAAGCACTATGCCTTCTTATCACTGAGGTGTCAATGTGGCTTAAGGATAAGTAACACAAACTTCTTCACAAATCAGCAACATTTCTCATAGATTTATATTCAAATAGGTAACCTGAATAATGTTTTTCAAGTGATAGAATTATGTAAGATTTGTCACAAAGTTTAAAATATGTGCAAAATTTTGTATAGAATTACATAGAAAATGGCACTAAGTCACATATCTAAGTACTAAAGAAAACTTAATTTCTTTATATTTTAGGGATTTATTGTTTATGTCCTTTTTAATTACAATCAGTCAAAAATATATACATCAATCCATGCATCAAATTTTTTTGGTGCTAAGAGTTTGTTGAAGCATGTTATTTTTTTTCAGAAATGTTTTTCATTTTTTAAAACATAAAATGAATTTACGTTCATTTTTCAGTCCTTTAAGGTCATACATGTAGGTACCCAAAATCTGAAGAAAGTGAAAATTTGATCGTACCCGCTTTTTTAGCCGTTTTTAATTTTGAATTCTTTTGATGCATGGTAATATTAGATGAAATTTGTATTCATTTTTGTTTTGTTTTTTTTCCCAGGCTTTTGCACTGAATTTCAATGTAGAATTAAAAATATAGATTTGGAGAAAATAAAAAAAATTAAGGCTGGTTCAATAAGGAATTCCGTGATAAAGATGTTTTACCAATAATTAAGCTGCACAAACTGTTTTACAGATTTCTATAATATAATTTTTGAGTATCCTATGTCCTTCACTGTTAATGTAGAATAAAGATCTGACCCATTCCTATTCATAAATCATTTTTATGGCTCCAGGCCTCCAATAAACCCATGTCCATTAAATATGTTTAACTGACAACATTGAAAGACAATTTATCAATCAATTATAAAATAAATGAATCAAATTTGTTAAAGATGACATCACTGACAACATATTTTTTGAAAAATACAACTTTCCCATAAACTTTGAAAATTGAGAAATATTTGGTCTCAGAGCAGGGGATTAGCTTTGCCTTTAAGGTGTTCAAAGCTTTACCACTAAACAAGGGGGGAAAAACTAAATCAAGGTCAAAATTGTTGCCCGATTGGCATAAACCCCTTCTGGGATAAGTTTCTGCTTGATCTTCTATAAAATTATAAATCCCCATAGCCTCAGCAATTCTATATACCCAGGCACAGGCACTTGACATTTTTAACCTTTTTCTATATATTGATAAAAATATCCCCTTACTATAATAATAGCACGGGGATATTTTTATCATAAAAGAGAAAGTTTTAAAACGTCAAGTGCCTGTGCACCCGGACATAATAAGGTGATCTTCCACAGGACAAGTACCTAATCATGATTTGGTCATTAAGACATACAACATGTACTGCTTTTAAACATGGATGAATGAAATTCATACATGTAGCACAAATTTTAAAGGAAAGGACCTGTTATGGGTTTGACGACCAAATTCACAGGAATGAAAAACCAAAGTAACAGCAAGTACTTTCTGCACCTTTATTAGTGCATATATACAGCAGACAGTCTCAGAAAAAGAATCCAAGAATTTTCCCTCCTAAATGTTTCCTCCTGGCCTCCTCATGATCCATAATACCCCCTGACGTTGTTAGCACTATAAATCTGTGGGGAAAAAGAAAACTTTTAACACAAGAAAGCAAATGCAATCAATTCTGTTTGGGGATACACCTTTTAAAGTTAAAACTTGTATAAGCTTTGTCACTTATTTGAATAACAATGCATTACAATGTACATACATGTATATTTACATCCAAAAAATTAAATTTTCTCCTTTATTTCTCATGAAAACCATATGTGAAGTAATACAGTCAAATCTCCTTATCTTGAACTAAAGGGACCAAGAAAAACTTCGAGGTATCATAATCTAAGGATTTGTCATTTTGAGGGTAAAAAACTTAAATAATAAGAGGTTTGGACTTCCAAATTACTTCGACATATCCATGGTATTTAAGATATCGGTGTTCGAGATACCAAAGTTCAACTGTACAATTTACTTTTAAACAAGTTAGATTTGTTTTTTTTTTAAAAAAAAAAACTATCTGTAGTTCCCAATATGTTGGAAGTTTTAAGGACCAACTGTTTCCTGTTTTCTCATCAATGTAACACATACAGTAAACTTCTTTTATAACGTACTCGGTTATAAAGTATCTCCGGATGTAAAGTAGCCATTCCGTAGTCCCGGCAAAGTGTCTATATATATTTCATTGGAAAAAACACCGCTTACAACGTATTTGTATATAACGTAGTACCGCTTATAAAGTTTAAGAAATTTGGTCCCGTTACATAATTACACCTCTTATAACGTATTCTGACACCTGGTTTCACACCTTTCCTATCAGCTCAGGGACTGTGGATTAGTCACGGTTTGTTGATTTCATAGCTTCTCCGTAATCGGTGTTTTTCTATTGAGGTTTCTTTGTTATTTCAGGTAGATGTATTTATAATAAATTGTTTGAATAAAGTTCATCGAGTAGATGTATTCATAATAATTTTTTTGAATAAAAGAATCATCTTTGAGTCAGTAAATAGCAATATAACCGAAAATGATATAATTAAACAAGTGAAAGGAAAATACAGTGATTCAATATCAGTAGACCGTGACAACAGTGAGGACAACGAGGCCGTGTCTGACACGTGCATACCATCTACCCAGACGATCAAAGAGCATTAGTCCGAAGTTTTCACGACTCTGGCCACTCTGGAGACTTTTATAAATAAATGTCCTCAGGCCAAACAGACAAATATTACGGACCTTTTATATGATCTGGCGATAAATAAATAAAATGTTACTGAATATTAATCTTTCTTAATATAAGAAATAATATAAATAATAAATAATTTCTTAATATAAGAAACGAAACCAAATATACTTGTAAATCATTTACAATGTATACATACTTTAAAATATAAATAACACACTAGCAGTTTGAAAACTGTTTACCGTAAAGGTGTACTGAGTACTTCCGGTCTCCGTTTATAACGTACACCGGTTATAACGTAGGATTTATCACAGTCCCCTGAGATACGTTATAAAAGATGTTTACTGTAGATATATAATACAATATCTAAATTTTGTCCTCTCTATATGAATTATCAATAATTAAAAGTATTAATAAAAAGTCTTTGTTTTAAGGGGTTATAGTGGTTAATTCATTGCAGAAAAAAATGGATTACATGTAAATGTACTTTTCTGCAATCTTGTTACTATCATATCCCATAAAAAAAAATGAAAAGAAAAAGTAGAGATGGAGACTGTCACTGACATCAAGAAATGTTTTGAATTAAAATGCACCTTAACAGTTTCTAATGAATAGAATGAATAGAATGAATGGTGGGCAGTGGGCCATGACTCAGTTATTTACCAACTGTGATGAAATGTTTATAGAGCATCCAATTTTATCCATGTGCAAAACAAACTGGTATAATTACAGGATCAAATAACTAACAATAAAATGGCAAAACAGAGGCTTAATAGAAATTAGATTTTTGAAATTAAAAAATGAGCCTTATTGATTTAATCTAAAGGAATGAAACAATACTTTCATATTTTTTCCCACTTATTAGTGGGGCTAGTAATAAGTGCTTTGGGCTAGTAAAATTTTGCCATTTTTCAGCACTAGCCCAACTGGGCTAGTACTGAAAAAAGTTTTTAGAGCACAATGTGACACAAATTAACAATCCCCAAAATTCAATGTTTCATTGCAAGATCAAGTGACATACCCAAACTGTCGAGATGGCAATAAGTTTGTTGTCCACTGTTCCATGTCTCTAATGGAAATGTCAAATCTGGGACTGATGACACCACACTGAAATACCATCATTATCAGGTTAGTTGGAGCTAGTTTGTAATCAAATAAACAAGAAATATACTAAAGTTGTAAAAAATATATATTTATAAACAAGCCTCAACATTGCATTTCGATTTTGTCAAGTAAAAGAGGGTTTATTTTAACAGGAACCCATACATGTCTGCATTATACTTGTTTTAAACATTTTACAGCTTCATTGTGTAACTCTGTAAGAAGTAAGAAAAAAAAAAGTTTGTTTCCGTTACCTGACCGACAAATTTTTTTCTTTGTAAAATCAGGAGAATTGCATGTCTGTACATTTTCCCTCAAATGAACAGTTTATAGGTTATAAGGTCACTTTTTGGTGTCAATTTTTAGAGCTGTCAGGTAGATCGTGAAAAACAAGATATTTCACGGCTAGAGGAAGAGAGAGCTTCAAAATGTCTTTTAAAAATTGTACTTCCAAGTTATGTCTTTATGCAAAAGGAAAAAAATAAACATTTTTTTTTTCTTAGGCCTCAACACTTTCAACACATTCTAAATCAAGTGCCAAGACACATATCCCTTTCACAGAAAGGTATTTAAAAACACTCACTCTTAAATATTTTCATGGTTCAAACTTACTTTGTTTAACCGGCCAGTGAGATTGACAACAATTTTGCCATTTCTGTGGTCATCAACAATTTCGAACTCCCCAATGTAACCTATCAATATGAAACAGAGGTACAGTGCTTGCTTTAAAACTATAAAATAAAATCTGAAATAATTCCCTCTGTCAGAGTGCAAAATTTTTGGTAAAAGCCTGCAATCCTAGACTTGTAACTTTTAAGCTGGGTTGATGAAGTATTAGGAAATCTGAATTGATACTATAGTATAATGTATGTCAATTGTGACAAATTGAACTTTCGGGATATTAATATTTCCAAGAACATGTTTAATTAATATAAATTCATTTCTTGCATATTCAGACAAAAGAATTTAAGGAACAGTTACAAAATCTTTCAAACATTAATAATTATCATATGCATTGACAAACAAGGCCTAGGGAGATATGACAGAAATCTAATGGTCTAAATAGAAGTCAAAGTAGCACAATATAATTATTTGTCTTTAGAAATTACTTTTCATTCAAAAAAAAAAAACAACAACAGATCTTTACCATGTTTCATCATCACTGTGAGAAATCTGACGATAACTTTCGAGCATGGCCGAATCAAGACCTGACGTTTGCCCTTCTTTTCAGCTGCTGCTATAGACTTTAAGGCGTCAGCCAATACATTCATCCGCACCATCTTGAACTATGCCAAAAAAAGTAAATAATTTGTTGAATTTACATTTATGTATAAAACAAGTCATTTCAGAGTACAATCAATTTAGATGTACAATGTAAGTTATAAGTGGGGGCTTCTTCTATTAAGATACATGTACGTTGCTACAGTTAAGTTGATGTTTGTTATTCAACTACTTAACAATATCACTTTGACGATTGGGGTCTGTAATCGAGGAAATTCGAGATTTGGTCCTGCAGAGCTGTATTAAATACCACAGAAAGGTATATTTGAGCATTTTTTTGCTTGAATTGTAAGTTTTGATTTTTTTTAGATGATGCACCCTACTCCTCGTCTTTTCATAAAAATCTATCACTACTTTAAAAATGATATAAACAAAATGTACTCGTTTAGCATCTCAGTATTTCTACAGGCAAATAAACTTGCTGGGAGCAAAAGATGGTCAATGGAGCACATTCATACAAAAGGAAGATGATCTTTTATTTATTTCATGTCTCATAAATAAGTAGAGATAGTAAATAAGAAAGATGATTAAGGATTGTTTTGTGTGTATTTGTAATTTCACGTCGTACCTAATTCTGTGGCGGAAGTAAAAAGACCGAAAATTAAGGCATTCTGGGTAAGCAGGTGTGTGACTCGAGGTTTACCATTACATATCAATAAAAGCATTAGAGAGTATCCGAAAGATGGAATTGTTGTCTTCTAAACGTTTGGAAGTCGAATCCATCTACGTTATATTTTGTGCGTTATTTTGACAGAGATTGCACGTTCGATACAAGATGTAAACAGATTTTTAGAATGTACTGTAGAATGTGCAAGGTAACAATTTTAAAGTATATATCATATACAAGAAGCAAGGTAGCAGACATAAATCAATTATAGTGGTTTTGGGGGACAAAACCAGCACTTTATTGTGTCTCGGCCTCTAGCCTCTCGGTAGTTAGAATAATCTAACTGTGTCTCGGGACAGGCCCTCACCACAGTTAGAATACGTCCCATATACCTGCAATGTAGCAAATCGGAGTGGATCCGCTCCGAAATGATTTTGAAGAATTTAAAAGGAATTGCACTGAAAATAACTATCAAATTAATCATAACAAACCTTTATGAGATTGCATATGCCTTTTAACCTAAAAAATAATCCATATAAATACGAAAATTCAACTAATTTTCTCAACGTTTTTCCTCGCTCCAAATTTACACGCTATTTTGACATTCGGAACTCTCTGGATTGTCTGTAGAAAATGCATAGAGTTCGAGTTATCGCCTGTGTTTATTTTGCTACATTGCAAATACACGGAAGGAATTCTATCGTTAAATTGGGTCCATAGGACAATATCATTTTAATGATAGAACGTTCTATCTAGCCTCTCGGGACAAGCGCTTACCTTAGTTTGAATAGTCCAATCCACACGTTGCAAAAGTAGTGTCCCTTTGTGGGGTCAATCAAAGGTCAGAAGGGAAAAAATTACATACCAAACATTTGGGCGTGCTCTGATAAACCCACTGTGTTAACATTGTTTGGATAGCCCCATCCTGGGGCAATCTTTGAAACACACAAGGTGCACAGATTTTTTTTGAGTCGGATGACAAAGTTACAAACCAGAAAACTATACAAAGGCTACTGTGAGGATAATATGGGTTTTTATCCCAAAGATGACAGCCAAGGGACATAACTTTTGAGAAGTGTGGAATCAAGGTGATTCAAATAATATGTTTCTTAATTAAAAGGAAACTAAATTTCTATGAAAAGGTCGAAAATGTGACTAGAGGAAACTTTGACAAATATTAGTCATTATAGTCAATTTTGTCAAAACTTCCACTGCATCAAAGCTTTCCTATTAATGGTATGTGGCAAGAAATCAGTCCTATGAAATATGTATGTATGTGTAACTGATAATAGCAGTTACAGATTTAAAGATTTCTGCAACACATCATGTACCTTGACTTTATCATAAAGTTATAAAACATTGCTTTTGAGAAAAAATACACCTTCACTCTCTATATCTACATGTGTATATATACATGTAAAGAGAAGGATAAATACTTTTTAAACTGTCCAGTGCTGTAGTTATTAAATGTATGGATAAAAATTCAGATACCTATGGCAATGTCAACTTTTTTGGGTGGAAAGATTGTTTCATAACATACATATTATTTTTTAGATGTAACCAAAGCTCTGAAAATGCCAATGTCAGCCATGGATGAGAGACCCAAAACCCTAAGGAGCGGGATCTCTCTCAAACCTAAATATGCTGTTCAACATCGCTCGGACATGCTCATTGCAGAGCAGGTAAAAATTTTCAGTGATATTCTTACTGATTCAAAATAAAACTCATCCCTGAACCATGCATGCTAATAATATGATAACCCCATGCAAAAAATAATTGTTTATATCGAAATGCTTTAATCAAATTCATTTTTTGATTATAACTTACAACATGATTCTTTAATTTGACATATTTTGATATTATTTTTTTTTTTTACTCAGATGGAAAATGTTACAGAGAAACAAGAGACCTTGTACAATCTTCTGACAGATTTAGAGAATGCCAAGACTGAGGAAGAAGTTGATCAACTGAGAGCAGAATGTCAGGCCCTGAAGGAGAAATCTGATGCTTCACTCATTCTGTTAAATGTAGGCAATGCTTCACTCTTTCTGTTAAATGTACAGGCAATGCTTCACTCATTCTGTTAAATGTAGGCAATGCTTCACTCAGTCTGTGTAAGTTCTTCACAGATAAATTCATTGATATTGTTATCATATATTTCATATGCATGTACGTTAATCAAACATGGGGGCCAAGGAATTTCCCTGACTATCATGACGTAATCCCCTGGTTACTCTCATATCCCCTGTTAAGGGAGGAACCCCAGATCCCCTTCTACTTTTTTAATGTCCCCTGCTATTTTGATTACGGACAACTCTGATTAATATTTATAATTACATGTATTGTTTGCTAGATTCTGTACAAAATAAATCATGAGCTGCAGTATGCTCGTAAAGATTTGGAGGAGGCTCTTAAACATGCGGGAGGTGACATATTGGCAGCCAGAAAGAGAGTCATGTGGTTGGAGGATCGCATGGGGACATTGTGCGGAAAAGTTCGTCTCAGAGTAAGGCCTGTGATTTGTTCATAGATACTGCATGCTATTTTTATTGTAAGTTTTCATTCATTTACATGGACTTTTCAATAAAAAAGAAGAGCGTCAGCTTTGTTTTGAGGAATTTATTTTTATTATGAGAAAAAAAAGTCTTGTAAGCTGCAGTATATATATATACTACACGTATTTACTGCACATTGTTTTATATTGACCCTTATCTACTGTATACAGGGTTATTTTCACCACAGGTCACACTCACAAATGATTTTGCCTCATTTTTTAAATTTGCTCAGACACAGTTATTCTAAAAAGATTGAATTCACACAGTTTTGCCCATTTGTGACAGGGGCAAATGGAGCAAAAATGAAATTTGGTGAAAATTTCCCTGCATTCATATAATACCTTACTTTTTATGTAAAACTTTATTAAGTTGATTTTTTTAGTAGAGTAAGTCCATATAAAGGATAACTACTAGATTGGAGAGTGAATCTAATATTACATATGAAGAATAATATGTCTGAATTTTTGTTAGGGTCAGCCTGTTTCTCAAAGAGTGTCCCATCGGACCAGAGGTTCTACTGATCGTGGGCAGCTGACTCTGACTTTTAGATCAGACAGTGATGTCAGCGATGAAGAAGACCGATTTCCAAGACAGAAGTCTCTACCTCCAATTCGCCAAACACAGGATGTTGACTCTGATGAGGAAGACAACAGGGGCAGGGGTATGGCAGGTGGGCGGGGTCGAATGGTGGAAACACCCTCCATAAGTGGATCAGAGGATTTCCAGGATATGCAAATGAGACGACCAGGAATGATGTACACTCCTTCCTCAGAGGCAAGTTCCTCCATTTCTCCTATTAAAATGGGTATGATGCAGCACCATGGGCCAAGGTATTCTGATGATTCTGATGATGAAGACTCTAGCCCTCAGCCCAGCCCAATCCCCAAGAAAGGACCAGTGGCAGTAGAGGAGAAGAGGGAATCGAGTGAAGGAGGGTCTGAGGCAGAGGATCACATTGGGGAACTGCCAACTATGTTTAGTAGGGACAAGCGGGAGATTAGTGCACCCCTCAGGCACTCATCACCAGAGATAGTCTCTCTGCCCAAACCAGTCATGGAAGAACAGCCAACAGTTAAGGAGGAAGAGCCCAAAGAAGAACCTGAAGAAAAGGTTGAGGTAAGGATTCTTACAAGACAAATATCTTAAAGGAAAACTTTGACCAAAGTGAATGCTATCTTTATAATTAAAAGTTTGGTTGTTTTCATGCAATATACATGCAAATTTTGTTATAGATTTAAAATACATGTAAAAATCTTAGTTTAACATTAAGTATGATGTATTGAATGTGTAGATAAATTTGATGTAATAAGAATACAAATTCTTACAAGAAAGATTTCTTGCTGAGAAAACACCATATGTGTATGAAAAAAAATGGCTGCATGAATTTAAATTTGACTTTATGCACTTTGTTTGCATAGGGAGAACAAGAGGCAGAATGGAAGGAATTGGAGGAAAAGACGGGGGAGGAAGCTCCAAAGGAGGAAACCTCAGAGGAAATCGTGGCAGGGGAAGGAAGTGAAAACATCCCACAGGAAAAGACATTTATAACTGAGGTGTCTGTGGCCACAAATAAAAGCAGAGTCACCATTGTGTCTCCAAAGAGAGAAGACACTCGACAAGGTGAGGCAGATGTGGGACATATTTAAATTTGGTACTGAATTTGTAAAGTTCTTTCCTTTAAAGATTTTGAATTATTTTGTTAAATATTTTTTCTGTAATAATTTTTTTTAACATACATATAAACCTTAATTATTTTAAGTGATATGCATTAAAAATTTAATTTTAGTAGCTAAGTTTTAATGCATATATGTGTTAATTTTGCTAGCAATATGGCATTTTATTTACAATTACATTTTAAAATACATGTATATTAAATCCAGTTCTTTAGTATAAATACAAATATGATTTTAGCTTTTTTTCATGCATGCATAGAGAAATGTTTATTATGCTAGTCTAATTTCTGCCAGTTCTGCAACTAAAAAAAATGAAATTGTGTTTTATTTCAATGATCCGTTTCTGCATTTTTCATTATTTCCTTTTTTTAATCAATGTTTATCAACTGTTCACAGTTAGTCAGATTGCCATAAGTTGTAAGGAATTTTATGGTTCTTAAAAGACACTGTATTTTATTTTCAAAAACTACTTTCAGTTCTTTTGCATCTGCATGCTTTCATGCACTTTTCACCGCTCAGTATAGATAAGAATAAGTACATATGTTACACGGAAATCCTTCAATACCTCTGTATACTCTTCAGATAAACTTAAACCAAATTGTACAGTGTCATATAAAATTTATGACTCAATAAAGGCTTCCTAAATTTTTCTAATTCAGAAAATTATTCTGGAAAAGAATTTAAAAAAAAAAAAGAATTGCAAAAATATATAATTCTTTTTAAGAAAAAGTCAGACTATATTAGACATCTGCAATTTTTTTCTGCACATTGATACACAACACTTTAAGTGCCAATGAATGCTGTAATTTTGGCACAGAGCATATGCAATAATTAAAGAGCTAGAGCCATGAACCATCAAAATGTGCCTTAACTCAAAAATGAATGAGGATTTCAATATAGATAGTAGAGACTTTTAGCTTTTCATTACTGTTTTTCTTTTTTAGATATCTATTATACTTTTTCAAGAAGAGATTTTACATTATGGTATTGTTTTCATAAAAATTTGCGTGAGGAACGTCATTATTTGTAACGTAACATCATTATGTTACATAGTAACGTCGTAAAAAATCCATGATTGCAATTATATGAACACATTTAAAAACTTAAAATTGGAATAGAGAAGTATCTAATCAGCATCATGATCATTTTACCAATATATTTTTAAAAAAAAAAAAAAAAAAAAAGAAAGGTGTTGATTTCAAATTGCACTTTCTATCTCTAAATATGAGTTTTCTAGAGTAATATTAAATTATAATCCGCTAGATATTATAATATCGATATTTTTTTATGATATTCAAAATATGTGACGAGATCAAAAGTTTAATTTCTAACCACAGGCACTTGTTTCGGTAATAAATTTTTGACCCATAGTATAATAATAACACAGGCATGTTTCGGTAATAAATTTTTGACCCATAGTATAATAACAACACAGGCCTGTTTCGGTAATAAATTTTTGACCCATAGTATAATAATAACGCAAGGTATCCAACTCCGAATTACATGGAGTACCCCCTCCCCCAAAATCGCACTCATTTACACTTTCCGCAGGATTTCCCTTCTAAACCAATAATCCTTTGAATCTAATTTTTTACCCTAATGATCTAATTTGTTAAAGCTGTCCAATCCATGCTATGTCTGATCACCCTAGATGTGATTTAGAAAGTCGGACACATTTGACATTGGGTCGGACACTTTTCTTTAGATATAAAATGATGCATATACGTATGCGCGGATCTATAGGGGAGAGGAGGGGGTTGTTCCGGAGTTATTCAATTTCAGAGTTATTAGATCTTTATAATAAAATGACCGATAGATGTCCTTGAAAACACTCCTCCACACATGCACACAAGAAACACGGACCCCTGTAAATTGGTAAGAAGAGTCTATTTAGTGGCTTGTTCAAGAGAAGTGTCTTACACCCGCACCCCCTTTCAGGGATTTTTTTTTATTGTCAAAACATCACACACACACACACCCCTTTCTGCGCATTGGAATTTTTTTTTCTTTTTTCCCTTTTTGTGTTTCGTCAAAAACTTCTAAGTCATTTTATTTTTTAAACGGGTATATGATATGTAAGCTGTTAGCTAAATAAAATTATTGATAATTGGATCGAGAACACAATTAACCAATGTTGAATGCATAAATACTGTATAATTTCTTCATATAAAATATCAGTGTGTGAACAAGTCGAACTATTTCCTCTTCATGTATATCTAAAACGCGCATAATTTTTGCGTTTTGTATGTATTTTAGATAATAACCTTTGAATTAGGCATTTGTATTTTTATTAATATAATAAATCTAAAAAAAAAATTACGTTCAACATGTAGTACTGGCAAAAAATCGGAAACAGGATTTCGACACTTTTCAATTATCTATTTTGAAATTATTTTGACAAACTTCTTCAAATTATCTATGAGATGCATTCGACGTCAAAAACTCAAATTATGACGTCATCATTGATGTACATAAGCATGAATGAAAAGAACGTAATTTTAAATTTTATATGAAACAACATATGTTAAATGTGAGTTTAAGATATTTTAAAACAAAATAATTGACAAATTAGGGATTATGTAGTTATCAAGAATAAATCTCGTATACTAATAACTAATTTAAGCTATTTACGTATATAATGAACTCATAACTGTTGTTAAAATGGAGGGCCTTGCTTCATTTTCTGATAGCTCATCGTTCATAAAATGTAAAATTCATATTGGCCACACTCGAGTACCTCTAAGATATTTTGCTTAAAAATGCATATAAGTAATATTTTTCTCTCTGCTAAGTTTGGAATCGGTACTTGAGTGTGGCCACATTCAAATTTTGAAATAACTACCGTAAAATCGACGTTTTTTAACAGTTTTTAACTTTATTTGTATATTTGATGCTGCGCATGTGCTAAAGACGGTGGTCTGTGTGGCAAAAAATTGTATGTAGAATAGCATGACATTGTGCACCACAATATAACATATATCAGGCTTAGTGATTTCAGACTTAAATTTTGTCTAAAATTTAAGGCACATTTTGATGGTTCGTGGCTCTAGCTCTTTACATGCATCAAAAATCTACAATTGGGATTAAAAAAATACATATGTATGTGATCAAGATTCTTGATTAATAGACTTGTGAATAGAGTATTGATTTCAAATCATTTTCAAGAATCATTTTCTATATGATTGACCACAAATTGCCAGCTCTTTACTTCTATTCCACAAACCTTAATTAATACATTCTCTGAAATATTTTCAATAATAAGTTTTGAAATATGTTTGTTGTGTGAATTCTCGGGTATGGTGAAAATTCCTATATTTATAATAAGTACTGATACTCTCATCTGCAGTGATGTAATGAATGGGTACATATACAGTGGTACAGAATCTACTCATATCAGCTACCTATCACACTATAAATGAAGTTTTATTCAAAATTAAAATAACTTAGATTTATGATTCTGTTCTGAACTTTTCAAATATCTATAAATAGAAAACACTCAGTGTCTCACTCAATGTGGATCAGAGATGCCAGCAAGGTGAATCAAGCAATCTTTTGTATTTGCAATTGTGTTTCACAAGTGACAATTAATTAAATTTCTTCAGTATAGAACAGGTGCTTTTTTAAACAGTCAACAGAGAGAGAGAGAGAGAGAGAGAGAGAAATCATTGATGGAACCATCTATGTTGAGACTTTTATAAAATAGGGCCTGACATAGTAGAGATACATGTATAGTGACAATATTAATAGGAAATATTTACAATTTTGTTGCAGCTGTGTATTTATTAACAAATTAAAGTTGATTTTATCTTAAATCTGCGTTTAGGAAAAATTTACAAGCAAAAATGTTACAAGCCAGGTAAAGCATACACAGTTTTGTAGAAAGAAGTGGGAATTGGTTTGTGTGCAACAGCACAATACGTTATATGGTGAAAGGGAACATGCTTGTTTGAACTATTTATAACTGCATTTACAGAGATGTATATAAATATACTATTGTGTGAGTTTGATAGACTGGTATATTTAATTCAGAGAATGTCAGATATGTTATATACACCATAGAATTAATTCAATTGATATGATAAAAATTAGTCACACCTCATGCATTGTGATTTCAAACAGCTTTAAAAACTTAATGATTTTGCAGAAGTAAATAATTTTGTTATACCTTTATAAAATAGTAGTTGGACGTAGCCTGTAAAACTGTTAAGAAATTATAGTGACTAATTTTTGGAGTTTACGAGGTAATATTTACCAAACTAAGAGCACATAATTGTTCACATAGGTGGCAGAGATAACCTCTAATGCTCCCAAGTAGTTATTATCCTTATATATATATATATCAAATGAAATAAATAAATTGTTATATTAAAAATTTTCAATTTTTCATTCCTTATTATTATCCCCACCTGAACTTGCCCCAGTTGCCCATGTGGCACATTTTTTATGGTGTTTCACTCTAGAATTGTTAAGTAAGGAGTTGATTCTTGCGTTGCAGGTTCAAATTTTACTGCTAGATGTGGAGTTCGGTCTTTCAGATGAGACTTTTTAAACTGAGGTCCTGTGTTACTGTAGTAGATGTGGCACAAAAAAAGATCCCTCACTGCTCAATGGTCATAATTGCCCAGTAGTGCTAGGTCTAAATTTGCAGCTCTCCACTGGCAATTGTTGACATCCATTTGTGATCTGAGTGAAAAAATCTTGAAGGGATGTAAAGCAAGCAAACAACCAACAAATTAATTTGCCCCCTTTTCCTAGTAGAGAGATATAATTTTAATGATATTCATGCTTATTAATGCCTCGCAATCTCAATATTCATCTCATGATTATCATGGACAATAAAAAATGCCACTCATATATTGGTAATGATAAAGGTATAACAAAACTACTTAGACCAGGTTTAAGGACTTATGTCTTGTTGAACTCTCAGAACAATCTAAGGCTGCAGCTATAAAACAGTTTGTTCTTAGTGTGAAACAATTAATATACTCGTACATGTTGCCCTTAAACCCAATACATGTATAAACAAAGTATTGCTAAGGCGATTCTCACCAATATATTCAATGCTTCAAATATATTTTAGCAGTTTACTTCAAAAGAGTGCTTTTAAATTTCTAACCAAGTATTCAGCTGGAACTATATAGTAGAATATTAATAGTTTTTTATCTAAGAAACTAATTTTATATACATGCAATGTCTTGCTAAAACATTTTCAACATTAATTTTGTGAAATATGATTTTTTAAAAACTCTTTCAAATTAACAGTTCAATAAGTTTAATATCTCTTTATTTAAACTAGAAAATCAATTTCAATTCCAAAAATGGTTGTGGTTATTTATAATTTCTTTTTTAACTTTTAATATTTCAGTAAATGATCCTTATATATGTACTAATTTGGCATTGTTTTACCCATGCAGCATTCCTGCGTGAAATATCTGAGGAGGAGCGTGACCTACTTATGGAGTACTGGCAGTCTGAGCACCATCGATTCGAGTACGGACCGTTTTCTGATGTTCTTACACAGTTAGATCCCCTGTCTTACCACCAGATGGGGCTAGCTGTGCCTGGAAGCTTTCTGGAAAAATGTAAATTTTTTTTAATAATCAATAGTTATTTACATGTACCTTTTAAGCCCACTTTGATGAAGTTGAAAAGATGTTAATGCTTTAATGCCATATATTAATTACCACGAAAGAACCTGAGCATGTCTATTTCCTGTTTTACCTACCTTAACCAAACTTACAAGGTTGATGCATCTTTGGAGACATACCGATACTACATGTACAAATCATGCTTTGGATAACAAACAAATTGACCATGTTTAAGGGTACATACCACAAACAAAAAATTTGATGCATGTATTGATATATATTTTTTGACTGATTTTGAATGGAAATGACATAAGTAATCAATCCCTAAAATATAAAGAAATCGTAAGTTTTATTTGAAGCTTAGATAAGCAACTTTGTATCATTTTCTATGTAATTCTATACAAAATTTTGCATATATTTTTGACATTGTGACAAAATCTTACAAAATTCTCCCACTTTACCCAGAAAATGTCATTCAGGTTACCTATTTGAATATTAATCTATGAGAAATATTGCTGATTTCGGAGAAAAGTTTGTGTTATTTATCCTTAAGTTATAGGATGACAGATCTATTTCCCTAAAAAAATTATTGCCCTTACCTAGACCTAACTAGCATGAATGATGCCTCTAAGTGTGCATGCTACCAAATCTGATTCAGATGCTGCATTTAATCTACATTTTCTAAATTGGAAGCAAGTTAAAATTTTTGAAGCAAATTCCCTCTGCCCAGCCTGGAACTTATTTGTAAGGATGAAGCATCTTTTGATGCATACTAACAGTCATGCTTCCGTCATGGTTCAGATAACTGAAGTACAGTCAGGCGGAAGATTTTGGAGTAGGTTAATTCTAAAGTTAATATAAGCATTACTCAGATCAAACTTCATAGATGATGCATTCTAGGGAATGCATGGTTCTACCCCCCCCCCCCCCCCCCCCAAAAAAAAAAGAAAGAAAAAAAGAAATAGAAAAAAGTGACATTGTTTAGGATGAGTTACATGTACACTTGTATGCACTCTTAATTGATTATTTAACCATACCATGCATGTTTATTAAATGTGGTTCAGAATTTTAAACAGCCAACAAACTTTAAATGTGATTTGTAGGTAAAACTTACTTAATGAAAATAAAATTTGACTACATATATAAATTTTTACAGACACAAAGGAATTTGAAGCATTGCCATGGAATGTCCCTGAAGACAAAAAGTCAGGAGGAGACATTACAGATATTCATGTGAGAGTTTTGTAAAAATCAATGGAGTTTTAAAATTAGCTTGAAAATACTGCCATCTCTAGATCATTTCAAAGATATTGCCATATTTTCTGAAGTGGTAGACTACAAAATAAATGAATGGGAGAACCAAGATAAATTTAATAACTGCTTCTGCTTACCTGTGTATTTACATTTTAGAAAAGGGCTTTAGACAAACTTGCTGTGAAAGTTCATCAAATGTATAACAAAGTGTTTCAAGCCACCATGCTGTCTGTTCGGCCCTCTAAGAGACCAACAGAGGGACAAAAAGAAGTCAGCTTCTTCCAGAGTATTGACCACTGTAAGTGTGTATAATATAAACCTTTCTATAATTGCATAGGATCATCCAGTATTTATCTCTTGAAAACAAATTCTTGGAGAGGGTTAACACCATTGACTTCATACATTCTGTTTCCTTTCTTTTTTCAGTGTCAACCAAAGAACCTACAATGTCGTCATCTCTTCTTGGAGCTAAGGTAAAATAAGACTTCCGATACTTTGTTACTTCATTTTATACATGTATTTGATTTTAAGAGCATCAACAGGGTAAATTTTACATACATGTACTCTAGTAATCTAAATCATAATTCTGGTATGACATTCAGATTTTGTAACCAATAAGTAAGTCATTAATAAATTGGATAAATGCATTGTCTCGTGTGTACCATAAGAATTATTTTTTCTTCCCAGACTGTAGCTTCCAGTACTACAGCTGAGGATAAGACCAGACCGACAACTATACAGACTGTGTCTACTGTAGAGATTCCCAAACTAGAGACTCGCAGACTGGGGACGTCCAAGTCGGGCCGACTGGTGTACTACCCCAAACCCATCCCTCCCCCAGAGGTCCTGCCGCTCACCAGAACAGTAAGTCATGCAGTACTGAGGATACTTGACTAGTGTTTTATTTAAGTATTACTTATTATCCCCTTAACATGAAGTTGACTTATACTGGAAGGCAATCAGTTCTCAAACATTTTTTCCCTACTTTTGCGAAAGTGAGGGGACATTAAATCTCATTCATCTATTAGTCTGTCACAAAAACTTTAACCTTGGTTTTAACTTTTGAATGAGAAAAGATAAGGCTTTCATATTTTACATGTACATTACCTGTGTCAAGACCATTTCAAATGTACCATGATTTGTGACCTTGACCTTAAGTTTGACTTACTTTTTTACATTGGTGATAACTTTTGAATGAGAGTAGAAAGGACATTCATATTTTTGCATCAAGACCTTTCCAAATATACAATGATTTTTGACCCCATGACCTTGAAATTTGACCTGCTGTTCTAGAATTTAGAAATGGTGATAACTTTTGAATGAGAGAAGAAAGCTAGGACTTTCATATTTGACTTGTGAATTATCTGTGACAATACTTCTTCAAACATATCTTGATTTTTAACCCTGTGACCTTGACCTTGAAGTTTGTTCTACATTTCCAAAATTTTAACATTAGTCTTATCTTTTGAATGAGAGAAGAAAGGATGTGATGTGTATTACCTGTGACAAAACCTTTCCAAATTTAGTATGATTTTTTATCCTATGACCTTGAAGTTTTACCTACTTTTCAAAAATTTTAACATTGGTGAAAACTTTTGAATGAGAGAAGACAGGGCATTTGTATTTGACTTGTGTATTACCTGTGCCAAGACCAAATGATTTTTCAATTTTCAACCTTGACATTAAAGTTTAACCTACAGTACTTTTCAAAATTTTTACAATGGTAATGAATGAGAGAAGATGGGGCTTTCATATTTTACATGTACATTACATGTACAGTACCTTTCAGAAGGAACAATCATTTCTGACTTCTTTACCTTGAAAATTTTAACTTTAAACGTAACTTTTGCTCCAAAAGAGATGGGGATTTTGTATTTTTTTTCACATCTATGTTAATTTTCTTGTAAATGTTCTGTATGTATTGCAAGTTTGCAAAAGGTAAATGCCCAATTTGAAGTCTACCGGTAGTTGTCAATCTCTCACTGATTCGTTTCCCTCATTATTTAAAGCCTGTTGTAAAGGTGTGATGTAGCAGAGACATAACTTTAAAGTATGAAAATTATGTCATTTGATCATGCCACAAATGGTTTTAGGTGTGCAGTTATATTTCCATAAAGAATTCATGATGGATTTTTGAAGGGTTTCATTTCAAGTATGATCATTTTTGTGTTATATAAGTTCTGTGAAGTTATTGGCTGAAAATATTGTTAAAAGAAAAAAAAGGATTTTACATGACTAATGTCTTCTGACAATTTTAACAGCAATATGTGAGTATTCCATTAAAGATTTTATTTTTTTCTTCCTTATTCTGTTTCACTACAGCAATAGAATGAATATTACTAAATTTTTTTTTTATATTAAAGGACTATCTTTACATTTCTGAACATGCTGAAACAAATCATTTGAATTTCCATTTGGAAAATTGTTTTTAGATGTACACATGTAAATAGACATCAAAAGAGATTTTTTTTTAGTTAGATGCATTAATAAAGTACATTTTGTCTTCAATGTACTCTGATTAAATAGTAAAAGATATAATACATGCAGTACTTTGAAATGACCTAAACATTTCTTTACTTACTTTTTTTCTTTTTTCAACATTTACAGTGTATAATACATATATATTATCAGCATTTCAGAATTAATACCTGTAATATAACTATGCCAGTTATATAATTTAACATTTCTTTTTTTTTAATCATGATTTATTCATTATTGTATTAAGCTATTTTTCTTCTTCTTGTACATTAATAACTACGTGTATTTTAGTCAAAAACTGTAGATTCCTTATTTTTTCAAGAGTATTATTATCGCATATGGCTCTTGAAGTCACATTGCGAGAAAAATAATTTGCGAGTAGACTATTGATCAGGAGATTTTACATGGATTTCAGCACTAATAAAAATAAAAGCGAGTAATTTTATTCACGAGTAGTGCTTCTTGTGAAATTACATGATCATAATTAATTACTCTTGTACATTTAGGAATCTACAGTTACCCTTACAATATTTTTCGTACATTTATTTCCATTTTTTTCTCTATCATTATAAAGATTTTTTTCGTCAGTTGAAACAAACTGAATCATTCTTTAAAATTTTTTCTTTAAAAAAAAAAATAGACAACAGGTAAAGAATATCCTAGACTAGCTAACAACTTCCTGGCAGATGGAACCAAAGTAAAGAGACGAAAACCAGCAGTGCGTATCGTAGACCAGCGGAACTTGGCTCAAGAGACCAAGCTTACTCTGTATAAGGAACGAAGTCGGGGTAGAGTTAAGGGCCCTAGTACCACTGAACAGAAATTCAGGCTCATGATTGCGAGAGAAAAGAGTGCAACCAGTAGCACTAGAACAGAAGCGTAAGTGAGAGGAAGTATACCAACTAAAATGATGTCACTGATATTGTAGTGTTTATGATATCTATAGTCAGTTATATCTTTGTTAATCATACAATAATGTATTTTTCTCTTTTATTTTGGCGAATGATTGAAACATAGTAAGAAATGTATTAGGGCCCCCTCTGAAGTCTGAAATCACTTTCTCAAGTACATTTTCCATCCCTTTATTCCAATATCATTGTGTACGTAGTGATCATGAAATTTTTTAACAGAAAGGTCCATATGAAGAGAAAAGAGTGTAATGTCATTGTCTGTTGAGTATGTTTTGGTCAATGAATATGGCCATTGATTCTTATTACATGTATAAGGTTAAGAAGTGTAGTCTGTGTGTAAATTCCTTTGTGGAATGTAGTTTCCTTACCCATTACCAAATATCACTCCCTCTCAACCAATAGGGAATCGTCATATTAATTAAGTATGCAATGTGACATTGAACAAAGGTAATTTGTATCCTAAAAGCCAAGGTCAAATCAGATCATATTGGAAGAAATTTTTATCCAGTCTGCATTTTTCCTCCTTTTGCGTAATCTTCCTATTGTTTTTTTTTAAGAGGGCTTTTAAAGATTGGCTTTCTGGGCATACAGTAAATTGGGAAGCAGCAAGTTTTGCAGATACATCCTGAAATTTTAAAAGTATTGAAAAATAATAAGAAGTCTACAAACTTCTTTATTTTATTTTATTATTCTACAGTGTTCGGAAACTGGGACTTTCCAAGACCCTAACCAATATATCTCAAGGTATTTATTTTTATATCTGATTTAAAATAATATTGTGAGCCATCATTTCAGATATCTTAATTATATTAAAGCACAGTGTTTTTTTTTAATTGTGACTGCAGATTTTAATGAATTGCACATAATTGACAATTAGCGATTTTCACCTTATTAAACATGATACTGTATTACAATTTTTTCTACAAAGAGAAGTTTTTTTTTACAAATTTAAAATATGTGATTTGTAAATATAAGAGAAAAGTACCACTTGTTATATATTAAAATGCCAAAGTATGAACACTAAATGTCACCATGTTTCCTGAACATACTTGTACACTTAACAATTCCAGTACTTAATAATATTAAGTGCAGAATTAACAAACTCGTTAACATACCTGATAATTATAACCCTCACCTGAATGTTTGCATGATCACCTTGTTTTAAAATTTTATGTAGATGAAGTTGACCTTGAAATAAAACACATTAGTCCTGAAGATGACGAAGGTAGCGAAGGTAAACGTGTTGCTATGGAAACCATATGTTGTTTTGTTTTATAGATCAGCTTTCTGTTTTTTATTTATTAATATTTTGGAGATATGCAACCATATTTTTATGAGATTTGCATGTTGATGTCTGTATTTCATGGAGTAGGAATTGTCAACTTTTATTTTGATGCTTTCACAGCAATTGCTTTATTAGAAATCATGTGTGTATTTGTGAAATATTTGTATTGTAAGCTTTTAAAAATAGAATTAAAGTACATTTGATTAATTTCCACGAAAATATCTAATGATAATATCTCACTTGAAGGAATATTTATTAAGACTTAAGCAATATCATGAATAACTAAAAATTGATTTTTGAGAAATCATAATAAAACCATTTTTCTTCATTTTCATTATTCACACAGCTGGTAGTGTGTGGAGTAGAATCAAACCCAAAAGTAGAAACAGAGAGTACTCCGGTCTGAAGTGGGAGAGAGTGAAGGTGAGGCAATATTTTATCAAATCAGAGAAAAACCTTCAGAGAATTCTGGGAAACCTTCATAGAATTCTACATGTTAAATGATCAGATCATCCTTCATCACACTAAGTGACAACAAATTTTGTGTGCAGTTCTTTTAAAGAATTTGCAAAAAAAAAAAAATGATATGAACTTCAAACACTGTCTATTTTTATTTAATTTTTTTTTACTGTAAGGTTGAATTGCATGAAATATCCATGATTTTCAATAGACCCCTTTGTCTTCTTTATTCAGACACTGGTTCATACAAACCTTGTATCCAAGAGACCTGATGAAAGAATTGATGCTGCTAAGGTTTGTGTACACATGGCTATAAATAACGAGGGCCTTCCATTCTCTTCACAATACTTAATTACTAAAGTTTCTTTAAATAAAAATCTGCTTATAGCACCTTGGCTTGCTACGATGTGGAGATGCCATGGTGTTTTATGGACTGAAGGAAAGAATGAAGATGGATGAAGATGATAGAGTGAGATATGAGGCAGCTAAGTCACTCATTCTTGTTGGTAAGCCATACTTTTCAGGAAGAAAAATACTATATTTTTAATCAGGAATTTTTCTCATAGGAATTGTTAGTTAACAATATATGTATCGATATGTTCATTAGGTTGACAGAGAATCATGTAATATTGCTCTGAGTTTGATGTTATGGATATATACAGTTTTTAGCTCACCTGAGCTGAAAGCTCAAGTGAGCTTCTCTGATCACATTTTGTCTGTAGTCCGTCTGTCCGTCTGTCTGTAAACTTTTCACATTTTCGACTTCTTCTCCAGAACCACTGGGCCAATTTCAACCAAACTTGCCACAAAGCATCCTTGGGTGAAGGGGATTCAAGTTTGTTCAAAAAAAGGGCCACACCCTCTTTCAAGGGGAGATAATGAAAAAATTAGTGAAAAATGAATAGCATCTTTAAAAAATCTTCTTCTCAAGAACCACAGGGCCAGGAAAAATGAAACTCATATGGAAGCATCCCCAGGTAGTGTAGATTCAAGTTTGTTCAAATCATGACCCCCAGGGGTAGGGCGGGGCCACAATGGAGGATCAAAGTTTTACAAAGAAATATATAGGAAAAATCTTTAAAAATCTTCTTCTCAAGAACAGTAAAGCCATGAAGAGTCATATTGATATGGAAGCATCCTCGGGTAATGTAGATTCAAGTTTGTTCAAATCATGACCCCCGGGGGTAAGGCGGGGCCACAATGGAGGATCAAAATTTTACATAGAAATATATAGGAAAAATCTTTAAAAATCTTCTTTTCAAGAACAGTAAAGCCATGAAGAGTCATATTTATATGGAAGCATCCTCAGGAAGTGTAGATTCAATTTTGTTCAAATCATGACCCCCGGGGGTAGGGCGGGGCCACAATGGAGGATCAAAGTTTTACATAGAAATATATAGGAAAAATCTTTAAAAATCTTCTTTTCAAGAACAGCAAAGCCATGATGAGTCAAATTTATATGGAAGCATCCTCAGGTAGTGTAGATTCAATTTTGTTCAAATCATGACCCCCGGGGGTAGGGCGGGGCCACAATGGAGGATCAAAATTTTACATAGAAATATATAGGAAAAATCTTTAAAAATCTTCTTCTCAAGAACAGTAAAGCCATGAAGAGTCATATTTATATGGAAGCATCCTCAGGTAGTGTAGATTCAAATTTGTTCAAATTATGACCCCCGGGGGTAGGGTGGGGCCACAATGGAGGATCCAAATTTTACTTAGAAATATATAGGAAAAATCTTTAAAAATCTTCTTTTCAAGAACAGTAAAGCCATGAAGAGTCATATTTATATGGAAGCATCCTCAGGAAGTGTAGATTCAATTTTGTTCAAATCATGGCTCCTGGGGGTAGGGCGGGGCCACAATGGAGGATCAAAGTTTTACATAGAAATATATAGGAAAAATCTTCTTCTCAAGAACAGCAAAGCCATGATGAGTCAAATTTATATGGAAGCATCCTCAGGTAGTGTAGATTCAATTTTGTTCAAATGATGACCCCTGGGGGTAGGGTGGGGCCCAATGGGGGATCGAAAGTTTTACGTAAGAACATATAGAAAAAAAAATTTCTTCTCAAGAACAGAAAAGCTATGTTAGTCTTATTGATATGGAAGCATCCTCGGGTAATGTAGATTCAAGTTTGTTCAAATGATGACCCCTGAGATAGGGAGGAGCTACAATGGGGGATCAAATTTTTACAAAGGAATAAATGAGAAAATTCTTTTAAAATCTTCTCAAGTACAACAAATTCATTTGTTATATTGACATGAAAGCATCATCAGGTAGTTTAAAATTCAAGCCCCCCCCGTAAAATATTTTAAAAATTATGTTGAAACATCTTTTTGGATGCCTAATTGATCACACTTTCTCTTTTCACAGGTTGTTGGGAAGATGATGTTCAACAAGTCATACTAAAGTATTTAGTCATAGGGAATGTAGATATCAGACTAGATCTCATAAAAACCATGATTGATGGCAAAAATGTACAATATGTAAATAAGGTGTGTTTGTATTTTAACTTTTTTTGTCATTTCAGTCTTCAGAGTGTTTAGTTATAAGTATTCAACTTTGCAACCTCCGATGAAATTTTTGCACCACTACCCCCACTTAACAAAAATTTTGTTGTCATATTCTATAAAAAATAATATATAGAGTATATATAGAATAATAAATAGAGTATAATTATATTCGAATTTGCAGAAAACCAACACATTCCCTGAACTGGTGAAAGTCCTTAGCCATTTCTGTAGCAACCCTGCAGCAAACGACCCAATTGCATTGGAAGCTGCTGTGTTGCTGGGTCGACTATGTGTTGATGATGACAATGCCAGGGCTGAGCTCAAGAGATCCTTGGAGTCTACTACTTCAGACACTCACAAAAAGGCCAAGGTTAATGAATATAGAGCATGTTATACTCAGTCTAGTACAATGTACATGTAAAAAAAAGTATCGTGGAACACAGATCATGGAATACAATGATTCAGAACTTGTTTTGGCAGTCTTTAACTGATATAAAGGTTAAAATAAAAACTACAGTCAAGCCTCGTTATCTCGAACCTAAGGGGACCAAGAAAATACTTCAAGATATCCGAGGGTTCAAGATATCCAGGGTAAAATACTTAAGAAATAAGCGATTGGGACTTCCAAATCACTTCGACATATCCATGATATTTGAGATATCAGTGGTCGAGATACAGAAGTTCAACTGTAGTTTGAATAAAAAGTATCAGATTTGACGGTCTTTGGACTGAAAGTTTGTGTACCTTGTATATTTTAGGGACAATGTCATACATTTTTCTTATAGTTAGTCTTTGAAAAGTGTTGCTCAATATGATAATTTTTTCTCTTTGTTAGTCTTTGGAGATCCTTGTGAAGCAGTTGAATTGTACAGACCAAGACATTGTTCTCAGTATCCTTGACATGATCAAGTCATCATACGTGTGGAAGTATAGAGTACTGGCTACAGAACTACTCATCACTCTTGGTAATTCTTATAACCCCTCTGTAACTGAGTCAGACTAGCTAGCTGTTGTCTAAGTTAATTTGTACAACACTTCTGAAATTGTGACCTGTTGTCTAAGTTAGTTCTTATAACCCCTCTCTAATTGAGTCCTGTTTTCTATTAAGTTAATGTTTTCGAAGGATCATTACACAAACAGTTGAACATTTATTTTTATGTTGACACTAAATACTCCTTAAATTATAATCTGGTCCATTGATTAACTTAGTTTTGATGGATTTTCTGAGTGTAATATAATTTGACAACTGATAGTTTAAGAATGCATATTTGAGTTAGAAAAAAAGTGTAGACGTTCTCAAATATCAACATACATGCATATGGTATAAATGAATGCATATCTGGAAAAAATTATCTTTGTAACTAGTCTGTATTATTTACAGGGGTAAAGAACGTGTGTCAGGATCCAGAAGTGGTGGAGAAAGTCTATAAGATTTTAGAACGAAGGCTCTGGGATGATCCTACCATTGTAAGCTTAATTTTTTAAGTTGGGAGCTTCTCATCAACTAAAAACTCCTCAGAAATTAAACAACAAACACAGTGTATTCAGATGATTAAAAATTGAAATAACCCTTATGTTTCTTTTGCAGGAGGTGAGAGTAGCTTCTGCTAAAGCTCTGACAGCATTGGGCATGTTCAGACGAGCCTGTGACACAATAGAAAAGTGAGTTCATTACCTATTTAGTGTACAGAGAATTTATTTACTTTCCAATGAAGACTATGTTAAAAACTATGTTTTTACAGACATTTCTAACATATAACTTGTGAATGTTCATAGGCGACTGGAGGACACAGATGAAGACGCCAGATCACAGGCTGTAATCTCTGTGGTAAGATTTTTGTCTTGTTATTCTTTATATGAAAGGCAATTATCTAAAAATGGAAAACTTTCTTACTTATCCCTGTGACATGTTCTTTCATGTAAATTGTTTAACATAATCCAAAAGATTCTGGAATATCCCTGATTTATCTAACCATGTATTGACAGGGAACTCTTGGAATGAAGAATGAGAAGATCACACGTCTGCTTTTGGAGATGCTGGAGTTAGATTCCAGTGATTATGTCCGTCTTATGGTTAGTAATGATTGTAATGACTTATCAACACTAATATTACCTTGGATGTTGCTTGAGCTGCATTTAGAAGTTATCTCCCTTAAAATGAATTTTCTCTAACATTCGTTTCGTTGTTTTTTTTTAGTGAGAAATTAAGTTCATTTATGTTGCTAATTTGTAAGCGTATGTCATGCAGGTTGTAAGGACATTCGTGACTTTAAATTCAACAGAGAAGAGGGTGATTAGAGCACTCCGAGAAAGGGAAAGAGCTGAGGGGGCTCTTGGAAGGTAATCTAATGATTTTCTGCTGTTTGTCATTTATTTTTCTAAAATAATTTAAAAATCTATTGATCAATTTTCAAAATATATGATTCTGACAGAAGATTTATAAGAAATCAAAATAGTTTGAAAAGCAAATATCTGCCATTAAATATCAGTGATTAACATAAATGTACAATTTATTTTACAGAGAGGCAAAGAAAGCTGTGGTAACCCTAGAGTCCCTCACCCAACTGCCTCCCCCTAGTCCCCGCCGCACACAGACTCCAGCCCTCAACAACAAGGGTAACAGTTCTCTAGGGTTCTTAAAACCAGTCACAATGAGTGTTTGAAGGACTTTGATTAAGTTTGACGTACAATCATGACATATAGTGATGTGAAATTGCCAAGTGAAAAAAAAATGTTTGAAATACCACCTCTGAATATGTAAACCTTGGACAGATATTTTTATAGACCAACAGTGCTGATTATCCTAAATGGGGTCATCCCAGGTTGTTTATGTATAAAGTATTACTTTTAACTAAAATAAAGTGAATAATGTTTTCAAGATTACACAAGATAAAAAAAAAAGAGTTTGTCCATGTATACAAAGTATTTTGGAATTACTTTATATGTTCATCTAGAGATTTTCATTGATCAGATCTAAAATTTAATCAAATACAACAGTGTCCATTTGAAATATTTACCAGTGAGAGTGCAAATACAGTGTATAATAATCAATAATCTACTCTTATACTACTGATCTTCAACAGGGTTTGGCTGAAAAAAAAATCGATTTGGAAAAAGAAATTTGAAATAAAAGTCACTCCTGATATTAAATGGATACATCAAAAAAATTCAAGTTACATCAATATTTCAATGAAGTATTGATGTAAAAATAAACATTCTGGTGTGCTTGTTCATTATTTAAAATGATTTTTGATAGTTAATAAACATGACTATCAACGTTTTTTTTTTTAAAATGGAAATAAGGCATATGAATCATATAGGCAATTTTTATGACTGTATAGGATGATGTCCATTGTACAGTACAAGTATTATTTTGTTACAGTTCACTTTGTTGTTTTTTATCACCCATTTAATTGTTATTGTGTTGTCTTTGTTGTAATATGCTGTGATAAAATTTTTGCTGCTGTCTCTTAAGAATTTTTATGCCGAAGGCTACAGTATCCGTCCTTTAATTTGCAATACAAATTTTATATAAATGTATGAGAGACAAACACATGGAAAGAAAAGTTTTGGATTTATTTTTTTGTTTAAATTAATTTACACAAATATAATGCATTTGAAAAATTATTTATACAGTGCCTTTTTGAAGTTGTTTATCGTTTTGTATTATTTTATGTAAAATAAAATGAGAAAAAATAACATGGTTTTTTTTCAATTTTGGTCTTTTTGAATACCAGTCATACAACTTTGATTTTGTGTGTGTGTCAATTCAATCCAGTGATGTAGATTTTGCTTCAATTCAATCCATTATTGTCGATTTTGCATCAATTCAGTCCAATATAGATTCAAGATAAAGGAAAAAAATGGTTTTGTACCTAGACAAAATGGCTCCATGTATAATTATGGTTCACAGAATTACAACGTATAGAAATACTTGGGAGTATAATGAAAAGATACCTACATATTTATTGAATTCTTAATCATAGGGTAACTACATTAGTCTTTTGTGGGTTGCTTGACACCTTGCTAAACAAACGATGGATTTGTATCAATAATTTATTTAAATAAACATTATTTACATAAGAATTCAATTTACAGTGGAAAAGTAAATTGCTTTCATTTATCACAGATTTAAATGGACAGACATACAAGTTCATTGCATAGCAGACATTTGTCATCCGTTCCAATAACTATATGCCTGGTTCCTACTTGTCAGTTTTCAAGTGTATCACATTTATTTGCGTACCAATCAATTTCGAGTGCCCATTTGGTAAGCATTACTTGGAGTATTTCAAGTAATAATCGCTTATCAATGAAATTTAGAATCAGACCACATTCAGAGGTCATTTAGAGAACACAACGTCTTTAATGCTTATACTTAGTCGAAGTATTAAGCCTACGTCTGTGAATTTGACTATATCCCAGCCCAAACGAAAGTTGTTGATTCTTTTCACGATCAAATATGTTTGGAAGGGAGGGAGTTGAAGAATGCGTCATTTTATCTTCCTCTATCTTGATGTTCACCTCGTCCAAACTCCGCGGTCGTTTGTTTGTCTTTTCTGATACTGCTGGGACAGGAGCTTTGGAGAAAGGCTGCTTCTTCTTTTTCTCAGCCCTATGTCTTCCAGCATACGTAGTGGGTTCCTTGGGTTCCTCATATAGATCTCCTACCCAGCCTTCCAACTGTTTCACTCGCGTCTCTGCATCTTTCTGCTTCCTTTCCAATACTTCTATTTTGGTATTCAGATGAGCTTTCTCCACAAGATCCCGGAGACGCTTATTTTCCTCAGTCAGACGCTTTACACTAGAGTCAATGTCATTTGCATTATCCTTCTGAACCAGATTCTCTTTGTTTTCTTTTTCCAATTGTTTAACTTTCTTATTTAATGCATCGATTTTCAAGGACATTTCGAAATTGCGTTCTTCAACCTGAGACCTCTCTTCAAGGTCTCTCACTACTTGTGAGTATTTATTTTGAAGAGTCAAAATTTCACTCTTTGCCTCCTCCAATTCCTTAACAGATGATTTCAAACTGTTGAGTTTCTCCAGCTCCCCCTTAAGTCTTTCGATTTCCAGCTTTAAAAGACGTATTTCCTCTTGGTTTTCCTTCTCGAGCTCTATGTACTTCTTTCTCCACTCTTCCGTCTCTTGCTCGTGAGAATCATTTAATTCTTTTATGCTTTTTTCATGTTTTGCCTTTATTTCCTCCAATTCTTTGCTATTCTTAATGCGCTCATTTTCTAAATCCTTTTCGAATTTACTAGCTCTAGAGTTTGCTTCTTCGATGTCTTTCTCTGCCTTCGCCAGATTAGCCACTTTATTTTTCTCAGCCGCGACTTCAGTCTTTGATTCGTCCAACTTCTTCTGTATCTCGGTTATTTCCACTTTTTGAGCATCGCTCAGCTTTGTCAAACTCTCCACATTGCTTTGTGATAATTTCTTGTCCTTTTCCAGTTCCTCGTTTTTCTTTTTCAGATCATCAATTTCCTTCTTGAGCTTCTGGTTTTCCTCGTCTTTCTCCTCTAATGACTTTGTTAGCTTGGTTTTATCATCATTTAGGTCTTTTATCTCATTATCAAATTTATCGTCTTTCATTACCACCATAAGCTCTTGTATCTCTATTTTCTTTTGGGCTAATGTTTCTTGCAATGTCTTGTTCTCCGTTTGTAGTTTAGAATTCTCGTTTTTCAGAGTCTGAATTTCGGTGAGTTTTTCAGACTCGACAGCAGTTACACTAGTTTGAAAGGAATTAGCTGTTTTCTCTAAATCATGAAGTTTCTTCAACGTTTCTAAATGTTCAGCCTTCATTTTAATAATTTCTTCGTTCAATGACTGGTTATCAGTCTGTAAACCAATGATTTGTGCCTTTAATTCCATCTTTTCCGTATTTGGTGATTTTGCACCGTCATTACGAGGTGTCACCAATTCACGGTACTTTTCCATTTCCACTTCCATCTTTTTAGTTTCAATTTTTGCATCTACAATCTGCTGCTTCAATTTTTCGACCTCTTCTGAATGTAAATCCTGAAGTTTCTTGTACTTCTCGTTTTCCTTCTTTAACTGCTCGGTTTCATTTTTCGATAATTCGAGTTCTGATTTAACTTTATTTAGTTCCTGAGTCAGTTTCTGATTCTCTTCATCTGCCTTGCTTGTCTCCTGCGATTCTCCCTGTAGCCTGTCTTTTGAAGAATTTCTATCTTCATCTTCTACTCCCTTCCTTTTTTCCAAATCTTCAATTCTTTTTCTCAATTCTTCATTATCTCCTGACAACGTTTTATTTTCTGAAACAGCTAATCGCGCTTTAGCAGACGATTCTGAATTTCTCTGTTCCAGTTCTTTATTCTTCTTTTCGAGATCTTCAATTCTAGCTTCAAGACCTATTTTTTCTGTATCTATTACAACAGTATTTTCACTCTGGTGGCTAACAGGTTTTTTGGTATCTGGTTCCGTGTTCGATTCTAGTTCATCAATACGCGATCTTAAAGCTTTATTTTCCGCGCGAAGGTCTTCAATTGTACGAAGAAACTGATTAAGTTCATCCTCTAACTGCTTTATTCGCTTTTTGTAAGTAATTTCGGCATCTAACAATGTCTTTCGCTCTGCGTACACCGATTCATACGACTCAGTCATTCTCTCTGCTCCAGGTTGCTTGCTTTTCGATGGTTCCATTTTGTAACTGTCAGATGTTTCGTAACTTTCGTAACGATCAAGATCTGGAGAAAAAGACTGCAAGGGAATTGGACGCTTCTCTGGAGAATTCTCTCTCTTGGCAGTGGCAATTTGCGAACTGGTGAGTTTGTGTTTTTCTGGGGAAGCTGAATGTTTTCGTGTTTTTCTTGGTGGAGAACTGACTTGGGTTTGTTTTTCAGGGGAATTTACTTGACTGTGCTTTTCTGTGGAAATTGAACGTTGTTTTTCAGTTATCCCCAGTGAGGAATTTACTTGACTATGTTTGTCAATGTGATCTGAATGGTCACTATGTACTGATCTAGTTGGCGAGGAGGATTTCACACTAATGTTATCTTGTACTTTGAAACTATTGACAGATAAATTGGTTTTCGAATTGCTATAATCAGAAATAGTTCCTGTTTCAGAAGTTTCTAAACGAGATCGATCACTACCGGATTTTTTAAAATCGTTATCCTCTCTGCTTTGTTTGGATTTGTCCTTAACACTAGCTTTTTCTTTAGTTTGCTTATCAGACTTGACTTCTGCCTTCTCTTCCACTTTTAAAGAAGAAGCATGTTTTTTATCATGAGGAACACTTTCCTCAACACTTTGTGAATGATTTGGTACCGTTTGCGTTTCAAAGCTATCTATCTGGTGATTGTATTCTAAATGTCTATCTTTTAAGGCAGTGCTTGTTGGGGGGAGATTAGAATCTGTACTCTCAAACTGAAGCAAATCTATTGATATTGCATCAGCATCAAACTCACTACTGTCAACATCAAACGTCACTTGTTTACCCTTTTCACTTTCTTCGGCTATTGACTTTACCGACACCCTAGATTTCGAAACCGCATCATTTTCATACACATTTTTCTTTGTAGTCTTCTTTTCATGGTCTTGTTTTGTTTTATTAATTTGTTTTAATTGTTCACCTTTGCTAATCTTTGCAGTTTCTTGTTGTGATTGTTTTTGATGGTTGTTTTTTACTTCCAGTGAAGGATTCTTAGTTTTCACTTCGGTTGTTGGTTTCTCGTCAGCCTTTGAAACATTATCCAATTTATTACCTGTTTCCTTTTTATTTCGTGAATTACTTTGATTTTCCTTATTTTTTACAGTCTTGTTTACTTCTTCTTTATTACTCGAACGTGTAAATTGAGAAGTCTTTTCTGAGGTGTCCTTTGTTTCACCCTTTACTTGTTTATCTTTCTTCTTTTCTACTTCAGACTCTTTTTTGACACGTGATTTTGATAGCGATTCGTTTAAGTTGTCTTGCTTTATAGAAGCGCCTTTGACTTTTGCTTCAGGTTTATTTTGCGCATTAGATTTTTGTTCTAATTGTCCCAACTGTTGTTTCTCTTCCTTTAACTTTTTTGAACCAGATACTTTGTTTTCAGCGTCCTTTACACTAGTAGTTAATGAAACTGTCTTCGTGTTGGTCACAGGTTCTTTGGTTTTAGAATTATTATCATTTGAAGCAGATTTTGACTCCTTGGGAATAGAATCGGTTTTCGTATCCTGTTTGTGACCAGTCTTATCGCGTTTATCGAGATTTTCTGATGATTTCTTTTTCACTGAAAGGTCATTTGCCTTTTCTACCTTGTCTAATTGGTTCTTGTTTTTCAAATTAACATTTATTCCATTTTTACCATGAATATGTTCCTGTTTTTGCTTTTTGTTCTTTTGATTATCTGGGGTGTCCGACTCGAATGTTCCTTCTTTTATTGGCGGAGTCCTCAGAGAACTATCACTCCCAATGACCGGAAGTGCAAGAGCACCCCTCTTAATTCCACCACTTCGAGAACGACGCGCCTGCGTGGAATCTGTTTCAAATGTGGCCTGACGGTCCACGGAGTCATTCTTTGGTTCTAGCAAACGATTCATGATCGTCTGCTTTTGATAACGATGTCATTTTGAAAAACGTTTTTGGTGTCATCTTCTTTAAATACATAATGTATAGAACAGAGGGGTGTGAGAATTGCAGTTTGTGCACAAAGTTGTTTTGATCGTTGAAAAGTTTGTAACCGATTCTGAAAAAAAGAAAGAGATAATTAAAATTAATATGATTTGACAGTATATTTTACATTTATTCTAAATATTAATCACCAAATAAACCTCTCTTATACTATGCCAATAAATGAAACCAATAATGCATTAAAACGTACTGAATATGTGTCATTAGAATTTAGTATATGTAATTTGTTTAAAGATGTAAAAGTATATTTTTCAAAATAATAACATAGAAAATAAAAATAACAACAAAAGAAGCATTTTGATGAAGGCATCTCCTGTTCTTTGTACACAGTCATATCAGATACAATATAAGCTAGCAGACAGGTGCTTTAGATTTGCCATTATCATTCGTTGGGACGTTAGAATTAAACATAGGAATGGCAGGAAAATTCAATAAAAATCACAGACAAACGAGCAAGTACAGCACGACAGGGGATGAACACAATGTTCCACTTGGTCATACCGGTTTATGTCTAAATAGGCTCATTTTGGCGGAGAAGGGAAAAATTATAATCTTTTTTTTGTCGATGGAAAACTTGACTGGAGGTTAAATCGATGTCAGTCATATGGTATTACGCAGTACTTGAGAAATCGAAGATTGTATAGCAATCAATCTTCCGTTATTATGGGATTTACAAAGATAGAAAGACTGAGAGAGAAAGAGAAAGAGAGTCAAAAATCGTTAAATTTCCACTTGTTTGAGATACAATATGTAGTAATATAATGGCAAGAATGTATACAATATATTACAGTGATGGAAGGGGTGAGAAGTGGGTTGCTGGGACATGGCTACTTGTGTCAATTATTTTCCTAAATGAACGTTTACTTATGCTAATTTTCAATATTTCAAGATAGGTAATATATTCCTGGTCGAGTGCTCTACCTTTGTTTTGCCAAACAATCTTTGGTTGTCTAGTGTTAACATCTGTGAAATCAAATACAGGGAGGTATCGAGAGAGGAAGATCAATAAACATTAAAATACAGGCAGAGCAAAAGGCAATCTTCGATCACGATAAAAAGATCTTTTTTTAATTATGCATTTCATTTCTGTAGGGACAAATTTCCATTTATCAAGGCTCATCGACGAATCAGGGAATAAAGACTCCAAAAACAAAACTAGTAATATTACTTGCACCGCGATCCATAAATATAGACCCCATTAGTAACCAACACAACCAAAGCCTCGAGATCGTGATACCTGAACCAAAAAATTAATAAAGAGTACACAAAAAATCCTAAGACAATTTCTGGAATGTAAAGGTACCAGTTACAAGATCTTCGAAGATGTGAGAATCAAGGTTCTCAAAAAACAAATCTGTACCTGCACTTGATGTTTGATCACCGAAATTACCTGGCAGGGAGAGAGAGAGAAATGAGAGCCGGGTTCACACGAATTATCCGGATAGATTATCGCTATCGATCGACGTGGAGGCTGAATACAGATTTCTTGTGAATCAGCTTCTCAGCTTGCTCTTTTTCTCCAGAAAATTGAATACACCAAGCAAACGTCTATCCTTGTTTTTAGAATATTTAATGGCGGCCAAGTCATATATAAACATGAGATAAAACTTTAAAGCTAACCAAACTTGGGGTATAATAGAGACTTAGCGAAACGCCTCGACGCATTACAATAGAGCCATGATTAAATACTATGTATGTGTAGATTGATCTCAAAATTTCTTTTAAATCTCTTTTAGTAAACGTATTGTATATGTGTGCTTCAATGAGCCGTAAACCTCATTAAGTATTATATCACTTGCATTCATTACTTCAATAGTAGATAGAGAAGCCATGATTGAATGAAATCTGTCTTCAGAAAATACGATTTAATGACATTTTGAATCTAAAAATAATCGCTGTATATAAAAAAAATTGAGGGTAAAAAAATATATATTAAACTTGAACACAGTCCAAGCATTTCAAATCACAATCGCACTAAAATTTCGCATTTAGAACGTCTGATAATGTGTTATGATTATGGTCTGTTGTTAAATTGTTCGAGGAACGTACTGTGTATGTTTACCAAATAAAAATTTTCTGTTTGCTTAAGAAGAGAATGAAAAAAGGGGAAGGAATTACTTCTCGATTAATATCCACCTAATCTACGGGACTAAATTACAATGGGGTAAATAGACGTGCACTGGAATTTTGATAGAACCCCGCTATAGAAATAGCCAATTCACCTGTTCTTCTCTACGTTTTATCATCTCGTTCAATATTTGCACAACAATCTATATTGTATCCTGTAAACAATTATATGAATTCACCTTTTACCAAGCAAATAAAAACTATCGATTAAAATCGGGTTTACCGAACAAAATACAACTTTAACTTAGTCCGTTAAAAGTTGAGAAAATGGAGCTGAAAATTTAAAGCAGGAATTGAAATAGTTTCTTGTTCGGAGACATGAAAATATTGGGAGAGAGAGAGAGAGAGAGAGATTTAATTTGCATAAGTATTAACTATAAGTTATTAAAAGGATTAATTTACCATAGTGTCCATGTTGTACCCGAGTTTCTCACAAATCTGTTCATACATTAAAATTTCACCGCAGAAAGTTCAATAACGAAAAACAAATTTAGCCAATTTTGATCCAACATCCACAACAAATTCACAAAGTAGTACTAAGTAAGTGTCGATTTTACATTCTTCGATCTCGATTTGTTTCCAGCTTTGGGCTTCTCAATCCCATCGATTGAATATTTCTTTATAATAACTCCCAAACGTGAAAGGTATGACATCTAATTCCATTAAAACAGCGGCCCCATACCACTTCACAGAGACAGAAAAAATAAACGGATCCAAATTTAGCCAACGGCATGCAAGCACCCTCAATATTTTAATCCGAAGACCGCTTTTGCGGGAAAAGATTCTTCCAAACTGAGTTTCCTTGTCCAAAGGTGAAATCTACGAGGGTAATCTCATCTTGTGCAATTAACAACAGTAGATATGGCATGCGAGTCTGAATTGCGAAGACCCTTTCATTAAATATAGACGATAAATACTGGCTTTTAAAAGTTGAAGACAAACATCACCATGCTTTCTCGTACCGACTCCGGTGTCAATGCGAGTAAGGCGCCATTTTTCAATGTTGAATTTTTATGAATTGATACGGAGTAACTATTTTTTGTTATCCAGGTGTATGGATTTTAAAATAATCACATGTTCGTCTCTGTGCAAATTGTAAACATTCGGTTCAGTGATTGTATCCATTTAATTACTGTGACAAAAGGTGGTTAATCCTTTGTACCGTTTTTTAAAGATCAGTCCGTAGATTTTTGCCTTGTTCAAATCTCTGGACAAATTAATAATGCAAATCTGTTTCGATTAAATTTAAATTCCATATCAATACTGATAAAGCATTTAATCGTTCTTTTAATCAGACTGAAAAAAGGTATTTTTCACTTGCCTAATCAAAATTACGGTAAAACCAAAATAAGGATTTGGACGTACGTTTTTAAATCCATGAAAATGAAAGAATTTAATTGCCTGATGAATATATCAGTACAGTAATTGTCCATTATTTGATTATTTATCATAAGTAAGATTAACTGCTTCATGATAACAAGCAATTTAATTGCAATACAGTTTAAATATAGCAAACCAATGCAAGTTTTGAATCGTCTTATAGGGAGACTGTCTCCCAGTTTCCAGAAAAAAAAATTACTCCCCTAAAATTCCGAACGTAGGTACGATCTGTGCATTAAGATTTGATAATACATGTAGTTAAACAGTAAATCTATCAAATCGGGCGATCGAGAAATATGCTTGCTTTTGTGGAACTGGAATTTTGCTGACGCCCTCAATGATATATTTTAACTGTATATTACATGTATAAATGAATTTTAAAAAGAGTGGACGCGGGGCAGAATGATTAAAGATATACAAACACTAAAGTATTTTAATCAAAAACCTATTGGTCTTTAATTTCGGCTATGAAATTTTTCTCCGTGTTCAAATCACACTGAGATTTGAAAAAAGGAAAATATTAGATACTCAAGTATCCTTTTTTAGTTTGCATCAAAGTGGCACAATTTGCTTTTAGAATAAACATTTATGTCTTAAAAAAGTGACGTGAATTGAGCAAAATGTTAGTTTTGAAAGAAAAAAAATCCATATTTATAATTATACAACTATGGAGATTTTTCTCCTTGTGAAGATGTGTCCGTCATTAGATATTTGGAAACAAGATAGTACACAGCCTCTTCGTCTTCAGACCGGAAGTAGGGTGGTTTCCTAGGATACGTAGCTATCCTGGATGTATTCCACCTTTGTACAACTTTTGGATCTGGGGGAGAAACAAAAGGAGTGGAAGTCGCTCGTGGATGAAAATAGTCCATTCCCAGACCCATCGTTTGATTAAATCTCCTTATTCCAGATATTTCAAAATCACTGTCATTTTCTCCAGAGATGCTGGATTCGGTGTGATTTGAGAGGTGAGCTCTTTTTCGCGGTGGTGGACTGAGGGAACCGGAAGAGCTGGCATAAGAACTGGCGTAAGATGAGATCAACTGTTCACTGAAATGAAACTTGGATGGTGAGTAGGGCTCTGACGAATTCAGTGGGTCTGACTCAGAGGAAAAATAGCTATGGTGATTTCCAAAGGATGTATTACGTCTGGAGGATTCTGTATTTGTACTCTTTAAGGATGGACTCAAAGTTCGACGACCATCTTTTCTACTTTTTGGAAGTTTGAATACTTCGTCTGAAGAGTTCCACGACACTAAATTGGATAATGTTGGATTGTACTGTGAAACATTTTGCACAATGTCTGTCCAGTCTGAGATAAGATCTGACGTATCATCATTGGTGCTAGGGGTACTGTAGCTTGACATGAGGAGCTGTCAAACAGAGGCAAAATACACTTATAGAAATATATAAACATTTATATGGAATGACATGAAACAATGTAATAAAATCTGGAGAAATTTACACAGATATGTGAAACTTGAATATAGTATATGTATTCTCAATGAAACGTCATATATACCTTTAAGCTGTATTTTCTATATTGATAGGCTATCAGCGTGGATTCTTCCTTTTTTACTGCATGAAACGTCAAAAGTAAATAAACATGACGTCATAGACGTTTTACGTCAATTCAAAACTTGGTCAGTCTCCCGCGTGGCGCAGTGGTTAGAGCATTTGCGTTATAACGAATTCAAAAATTTGGGGCAGTTTACGCTTTATAAACCGCGAAGCAGTTTATAAAAAAGCGTAAACTGTTCCAACCCAGTTCATACCGTATAAATTGGGTACCTATTAAATTCATTCCTTATAATTTAATTTTCATTCATTTGTTGTAAGAAAAAAAGATGATTGTCCTTAAAAAATGACTTCAATTTGTACAAAATTTGAATGTAAAGTCAGGTGGATCGATACGTTTTTGACGCAAGTCATTGTGACGTAGGCAACCCATTTTATACGATATAAAGTAAAAAAAAATTATCCTATCAATACAGCGTTACAACCAGAATTAAATTATAACAAATTAAATTCGTTCAAACGAATTCTAAAATTTGTGATAACAAATTAAATTTGTTTAAACAAATTCTTTTTGTTATAAGGAATTCAATTCGTTATATTAAATTCAACAATCAAGGCCCGTAGAAAAATATATATGAATTCGATATAACGATTTGTCGAATTCGATTTAACGAATATAATTCGTTATAACAAATTACAGAATTTGTTTAAACGAATTAAATTCGTTATAACAAGTTTTAGAATTCGTTATAACGAATTTAAATTGTTATAACAAATTTTTGAATTCGTTATATCGAATTCAACAAATTTGTTATAACAGATTAAATTCGTTATAACGAATTCAAAGAAATTGCTATAACGAATTTAATTGGTTATAACAAATTCGATAATTCGTTATATATTTTATTCAAAAATATTTTTGATAAGTCCTAAATGGGCTTCCGAAGAATAGTGATCTAGACCTTACATGAAAATTTAAAATCTTGAAAATAGTCAAGAATATTAAAATCTTGATACATAATTCTGTAAAATGTCAAACAAATTAAAGATATTAAATTATGAAAAAAATATTTGATTTGCTTATAGTGATACTTAGTATATGCAAATACGCAGAGAGGCTGGTTGTAAAGTAATATAATAGAAATATCTCGTGTATAGCTTAAAAAGTGTTTTTCAGTAATTTATAGCCAGAATCAGAACATTTTCTATGACATACATGTAGAAGTACGGAAGCCCATCTAGGACCTATCAACAATAATTTTAAATTCGAGATAACGAATTGTCGAATTTGTTATAACGAATTTAATTCGTTATAACAATATCTTTAAATTCGTTATAACAAATTCAATCTGCTGTAACAAATTTGTTGAATAGTCATAATAAATTCAAAAATTTGTTATAACGAATTGCAATCTGTTATAACGAATTAAAATTTGTTATAACGAATTCTATTCATTAAAATGAATTCCTTAATTTGTTATAACAAATTAAATTTGTTAAAACGAATTCGACAAATCGTTAAAACGAATTCGTATATATTTTTCTATGTATTTTCTATAGGCCCCGATTGTTGAGTTTGATTAAATGTATTTAATTCGTTATAACAAATTTTATAATTCATTTAAATGAATTTAATTAGTTATAGCAAATTTTTGAAATTTTTTATAACGAATTCAATAAGTTTGTTATAACAGATTAAGTTCGTAATAACGAATTCAAAGAAATTGTTAAATTCGTTATAATAACATATTCGACAATTCGTTATATCGAATTCAAAAATATTTTTGATAGGTCCTAAATGGGCTTCCGTATAAAAGGAAACTACGAGATAAAAATTTGTTATCATGAGATAAAAGACTTAAGAAAGAATCAAACTTGGTTGAAATTGGTTCAGCCGTTCCAGCGTTTCAGAGAAGCAAAACAAAAAAAAAAAACAAACAAACAAACAAACAAGAAAACAAAATAAAACAAAAAACAAAAAAAACAAACAAACAAAAAAACAAAAAAAAAAACAATAAAAAAAAAAACACACACACACACAAACAAAACAAAACAAACAAACAAAACAAAACAAAAATATAAACTTTTTATTTCGTTATTTCGACTGTTCATCTCGTTATTGCCGTTTAATAAAGTCGTAATAACGACTTTTTATCTCATTATTACGATTCTTTATTTCGTTATCGCGACTTTTTTTCACTTTCTAATTTGAACTTTTAATGCTTTCATACTTCTTGAAAATCTGTAACAAAAAAAAAAGAAGAATTACCCTAAGCATCGATTCAAATGATAACAGATATTTTATTCATTCCAATGTTTTATTTTAATAACACAATAAAAATCACTTTGTATTTCATTGGGAAAAAAATGAAATGCAAAATATTTCTGAAACTACATGTATTTATGCTCAGTTCCAAAATCAATTGCGTAAACAATATGGTTTAATAATTTGTATGTTTTATTAATTGCTAGTAGTATACTAGTACTCAAAATACATAATATTAATAGCAAAATTCATTTGACATGTTTGATGAATTTGATGAAAGGTATGAAAACTGATTTTAAAAAAAAGTTGTTAACGATATGTATTAAGGTCTATTTAATACTTGAAATTAACTTCTTATTTCTCGAGAGAGCATGCGATCAATACTTCATATCTGTTGGCTATCTAAGTTCATCAAGATGTGTTACTAAGTATATAAATATCACCTATGGTGAGAATAGCTAGAATAGATGAGGCACAGGTCTGAAAAAATATCACTGCCATCTTGCTCTGATGTCAGGTCAGGAGGGATAATAGAAAAGGGAATAGAAAGGTGGGTAAATATACATTATATAGCTATAAAAACAGCAAAGTAAAATCGGGATATGATAATTTTGATAAAATTCCACAGATGGTGTTTGGTTTGTCTTAAAGTAGTTTTCGTTTTTTAAACTAAAACAAACACACTTTCTACCAAATCTTTTCTTTCGAGATGATTAACTTGATTCTTACAGTGGAATTCAACAAGTAAACTTTTAGAATAAAAAACAAATTTCAGAATTAAATACGTCCTAACTCTTATCATTGCAATACATTACCATATTATTTTGTACATTTAAAAAACGAACAAAAATAAGATGAAGAAAGATTTCCGTTACATTCCTAACAAAAAAATACTATAGTTAACTATAGTTTATTATAGTTTACTATAGTGATAACTTTGACGCTATGAAAACTTTGATTTACTATAGTGATAACTTTGACACTTTGATTTACTAAAGTGATCACTATGAAAATTTTGATTTACTATGGTGAAAACTTTGATTTACTATAGTGATAACTTTGAAAACTTTGATTTACTATAGTGATAACTATGACACTATAGTGATCACTTTGAAAACTTTCATTTACTATAGTGATAACTTTGACACTTTGATTTACTATAGTAAACTAAAGTTAACTAGAGTATTTTTTTGTTAGGGATGGTAAACATTCCTAAAAATAATGTTATTTAATGGCAGTATTTTTCATTTAGTTTGATCGTCAGAAAAAAAATTACCCGAAAGATTTTAAAAATGAATATTTTCATAAGTGTTTCTTGACGACGCAGAATGATTACCACTTCATTTATATCACACATGATGATCGTCAACAAAAAATGGCAATTTATTAAAAATAGTAAAAAAAACAAACATTTGTGAGTTATATTTTTTACAGGATGGCTCTATTACTTTGGATACGGATTTACATAATTGTTTTCGTCAATCCTGCATGGTGTTGGATAGGAAACTTGAACAATACTAATAAACTAGCAGAACGTTACATAGACATTTGTGGAACCAACAGTCTCTGTTTGGAAAAGGAACATGGTATTACACATGAAATGAAGAATAAAACATTGCTGCTTTGTCCGACCTGCTCTTGTTTAGATGACTGTCATGTGACCGGAACATGTTGTCCAGACAAATCTCTCAGTGAATGTGTTCCTACAAAGCATTTGATTAACAATTTAGAGAGTGACCAAAAAACCTATCATAATATTGTATCATACTGCCCATTAAATATTAATAAATCTCTTGCAGAAAGCTGTGTTTTTCCAATTGCCCAAAGTAGTTTCATCAACCAATTACCAGTAATTTCCCTAAAGTCAAATATTTCATATGCAAGTAAACGATGTGCTGAATGCCACGGGGATACTGATGTCTTACCATGGACATTTGATATTGCTTGCCCAAAAAGAGAACTTGCTTTAAGTATATATTCCAATTACTCAGAAATATGGGCAGATATGCAGTTGTACAACTGTACACTTGAATACCATCCTCCCTTTAATGGCTTATCACAGCCTTGTGAAAAAAAATCTCTGATTAGAAAATGTAATTTCACTGGCGATTGGGACAGATATGAGGTGGACATTGAAACTGCTTGTAAAACTTACTGGAGTCCGTTTGGGATATTTCAGAACGTCTTTTGTTTCATGTGCAATACAGGTTTTGATCAGCTACAGCAGATTTTCTTACGTCATAACGCTGACCGAAATCTTTCGGTTTCAGAGAAGAATGGGGACCACTGCCAAAGCATGTTCAACGCTTCACCTCTAACTGAATGCCCATCGGTTACGGATGGAGATTATATGAAGATTGTGTACTCTGATGCGGAACTGTTGTTATCCGAAAATTACAATAAAACTTTGAGTATATACATAGCTTATTTCGTGTTTCTTCAAAGCAAATTAGAATCAAAGGTAAAACAAATGACCTCTACACAAGAACCCTTAGACGTCACGTCTAATGCACCACCTATGATCAATCTGACGTCATTGCATAGAGAATATGTCAGATCTGGGGGATACCAAGATTGGTGCTATGAAGATAATAAACTGGAGAAGATCCACTCTCGTTTTAAAGGAAGAAGAACCTGTTTATGTGATCAGGACTGCTATAAATATCTATCATGCTGTCCTGCTGCTGCTTATCATCAAAAGTGGTCATGCGTTCGACCTTCTATAGGGAAGTTTCAAATGCCATTCTTGATTGAAAACTACTTTCTCATTAGCAGGTGTCCTGTGAGA